GGGCAATTCTGCGCAAACGATTTGCTGAATTCGTTCCGACACTTTCATTTGTCTGAGCCTGTAGTACAGACACTTTGCTCGAGAATAATCATCATCGTTTTCCATCTTGCAATCGACTGCACGGAGTTTCCACCCCGTTTGCAGTACACTGTAAACAGTGGTTAAAGAAGAAGGGGGGAAAAGCAGTTATAAAGGCATTTCATCTTGGGAAAGACGAGCATCATGCTATTATTTAAGGGTGTCCATTATGTAAATAATCAACAATTACCTGCACCCTTCATTATTTTTTTTTCCTCCAGAGGGCTGCAGACGTTTAAATAAAGGGGGAAAAGAGTTTTGGTGTTTCGTTGTTTGAATAAAACATACAACTTGAACGTTTATTAATAAAAAGAAAAATCTAATTCATTGAAGAGCACGGGGAACAAACTTTAAACGAAATTCTTTACTTGCTAGACCTAGTAATGCGTCCGCCTTTTTATTTGCAGCATAATTTGGTCAGTTTATTTTAGGATATCACCACTGATCGATGTCGGAGGTCTGTAAGCAGTATAGCAAACATTCACTTTGGACTGTCTATTCATAAATGTGGAATGAGAAAAAAATGGCGTTCGTATGATTCCAAGTCCGTTGCGGACAAAGTACACCGTATTGTTGATTATATTGTACGATATTGACACACACTGTATTGTATTGGAGAATTCTAGTTTAGTGAACGGATCATGACTGTGTAGAGAATGGTACCTTAATTAGCAAGCTTTCTATTGTTATTGCTACGATAGCAATTTATGTGTTAATAGTTGTAAATAATTACACATATTTTGCATTTTATTGTATAAGTTTCGTAATGTAAATATTATTGAGATTAAAATATCTCCAACACATGGAATGAAAGCTCGGTGTGGTGAATAATCGAAATCTTTCTGTGCAGGTTATTGGTAGCGTATACGTTCGGTGCATGCAAGGGATCGGGAGTGCATTGTTTTTCTTTTTAAAAAGTTAACTTCATTACCTTTTCGTTCGTAAAAAAAAATTGTCAGATTGAGGAAAGGGATAAAAAATGTCGCGGGGGTGGTTGGGGAGTGATCCGCCCAGTTTATGTTAAGCAAGGAATCACAATGAGTTTCCACAATGAGTCCTGGTCATCAGTAGTGGACTCATAATTATAACCACATGTCGAATTATTACCCTGCTTAAATTTGGTTGGTCAAAAGTTCAGGACTCTTAGAAAAATAGAGGGCGCTGTACGTTTGTACCGAATCGAACATTTTAGAATATTTGACTGGCAAGAATCCAACGATAGATGGCGTGCTACAGCAACCATCGATCACAAACAATTAATGATTGCACAACTTTTGCGCTATTTGCGCGATATAAGGTATATAATTGTGAATTTGTACCCTTTGAGCCGGGTGAGCCGTGGCCTAGTGGTACCGAACTCGAGACTTGAAGCGTCTTCGTTTCGCATCTCCCTGCTAAACCGCAGGATCACGGGGTGCGATGCCGCTGGGACAAACTCGATACTCACCTTTTGATTTTTTTTTTTTCCACTTCCGTGTACACATAAGAAATTAAGAAATTAAGAAATATTTGATGTCTTTTAAAGTTTTCTTTTCTCGTTAAAATAAAAAATTACACAAAGAACCATGGGTTTATTTATAATGAAACTGAAGAGGCCTACTTTACATTTTTTGGTTTACTAATTTTCAGGGTTTTGTGGGTTTAGTAATTTCAGCGGGTTTTTTTTATTTGTAGACGGCTATCACACGATTATCAAATTGTTTCGTCGTGAGAATATAAGGCATTCAAAAGTGGGGATGCATGCGGCCCTACATTCACCTTTTCTCAAGCGCATGGTGGCGCTGCACAGTTTTAATTTCAGTGGTCCACGCTGGCTGCGTAATTCCTTTTCCTAGGAGGGTTAGGGGCAATGTCATGAATAATTCAGTTTTTCCTTTGAATCATTGCAAGACTTAGGTTCTCGTTCTATTTTCCCCTTAATTTAAAATTAGCTCAGTGATAAATTTGGAGAAGAAAAATAGCTGATGAAAATGAGCAGCGACGACGTGGATTCGAACCAGGGATCTTTGTATCCATAGCTCATCTCGCTATCCACTAGGCTACTGTGTGGTAGCTCGACGACAACTGTTCTTTAAAATGCTTTAATGTATTGTAACTAGTTGAGTAACTAAAAACAATGCTGTTGATGTCATTGTCCGTTCTCATGGATAAACATGAATTATTCATGACATTGCCCCTAACCCTCCTAGGAATAAAAATTACGCAAGCTGGCAGGCTTATCTCAACCTCGTCCCAGGGTGTCGAACAGTACGCGCCCATCACTACCTGCTCCAGGTTGGAAATAAAGTAAGCACTGGGGACGAGGTGGGGCTTATCGAGTCTTCTGTGATAATCAGATATAATGGGATCATCATCCTCTATTAAAGTGTTCACTTTTGTCTTTCATGGGAAATTGTGTGCGTTAAATATGTTTATTTGGCTGCTGAACGTGCATGTAAAACAAATTCACAAAACGAGTCCACATCTCATAATAACACTATTGCTGGTGCGGTTCCATTGGTATGCTGCAAAATAAATAAATAAATAAATAGATAAATAAATACACCTACTCTAACAAAACGGTGCCTATTTTGTTCTATTTTAGCAAATGAATTTTCCCGATTTTACTTTTTCCCAGTTCACCCCACCCACTCCCAAATGATTTTTTTTTCCTTTTCCAGATGAGAAATGGCAACGGCTCCTGAAAACATATATATATATCTAGTGTCCCTCCCAATAGTCAGTAAAGAACCGTGCCTGAAAATGCACGAAAGGTACATAACCGCTTAATTAATGATTTCTTCATATATTTTTTTTACAGTCCTGTAAACATTAAATACATGTATACTAATCTTTTTCTGAAATAAAGAGTTTTAAAAAGTCTCTTACTTGTTGATCACACTTCAAAGCTATTCAGGCATCCCGATTCGATGTGAATGAAGAAGCGAACACTTAGATGAGGTCCGTGAGTGCAGGTAGAAGTAAAATATTCACAAAGACGTTTCGTCAGTTGCCCCCCCCCCCCATTTTTGTAGCCAAAACTATGATAATTTCCGGCTGATTTTTAACCAAAACAGGAACTAAATGGGATCACGATAGCAAATTTGTAGGTTTTATCTATGCAACTGATTGGAGTTTGTTACACATAAAGTACCATTAACTTTAATCAATTTCCTATTTAGTTAAATTAAGCAAAAAAGACAACATTTCTCATACTTAATAGAAAGACCCACATCCTACAAACGTTGACACGGATTAAAATGATTCGCTTCGCTAGAAGTGGATTCATAACCTGTTACCTGTTACCTAGCCCGTAGTCTTCTGACCGTGGGGGCACCCCTTGAAGACTTGTCAACCAGCTTCCTCCATCTCTCTGGAGCTTCAGACTTTCTCAGGGAGTCACTCAGCGTCAGGCCTGTCCACTCTGAGATGTTGTCCTCCCACCTCTTTCTCTGCCTGCTCTTTCTTCCTCCTCGTACAGTGCCTTGCAGGATCGTCTTAGCCAGTCCTGATGATCGTGAAATGTGCCCATACCACTTCAGTTTGCTCTTTTTCACAGTGGTCAGTAGATCTTCGTAGGATCCAATGACTTGCCTGATTCTGGTCCGTACCTCCTCGTTGGTGATGTGATCTTTGTAGGAGATGCCAAGAATCTTTCTGTAGCATCTCATTTCTGTGGCCTGTATTCTCCTCTCTAAGTCGGCTCTTAGAGTCCAAGTCTCACAGGCGTAGAGGAAGACGGATATGACCAACGAGCGCATCATAAAGTCACCATATATTGTGTCACAGTCACACGTCACTGAAATCAGATTCATTAAAACCTCATCAGGATTTTTTTCTCAATATTTTTAAGTTGTTCTCCTTTTGCTATTTTAAGTTCGCCCACAACATACAACTTTCTGTCTAGTAATAAAAAAAATTATTTACATTTGAATAAGTCATTGAGCAAAAAAAAACCAAAAAACGAAAACAAAAAACAACTTCGCCCACGTTTACTAAAATTAATATTTTACAAATTTCGAATTAATTTGAGATTTTGCGACCCAACAAATCCGACGGATATTATGTGCCTCAGAGACGCAGAAACAATCCAAATACAAGCCCTCTGAAGATGTTGCAGACGTAGACGCACATAAAGTATAAACAAGGGTTTTTTTAAGTTTAATTAGAATATTTATATTGACAATTCGAGAAAAATGATCGAACTTTTACTACTGCTTTAATTATTCAGAGAACGCATATGGGAAAACTACTTTATTAAAAAGGAGTGAACAATTAAATGGCACATTAACAAGGCACACTGAATCTGATTCTTGAAATACCGGATTCCCGCTTTGCTAAAATAAAAGTTTGTGAAGACGTACAGGTACAATGTGCTTGCGCACCTTGTCTTGCACATGGGTGCAGTGAACTAATTCAAGTGAGAATTTCTACGCGAGCTGATTAGCATAAAAAGTGACCCCACAGTTTCTTTTGAAAACGGAGACCGTTTGGCTTAAAAAACGGTGGAATTGTGTAAATATAGCCAAGGATCAACTCCCTGGTTTTGGGGCTTCCATCTGAGGGCAGGCTAGATAAAATTACGGTTGAAAAATGGGTCCTATTCGCCTGAGAAAGTGGAAGGATGCCACTTGTAAAACGGCTACATGCAGGCTTGGGAACTATCACTTTTCGGGAGGTGATTTTGTTTTGGTGTGAATATTTAAAAATGTAATCGGCTAATCTACCCAAAATTGAAAAGAAATGAAAAGATGAAGTACAAGACAATAATTTAATTTTTGTTTGAGAAACCCCAGTGATGTCGGCTTGCATGTTATTTGGCCCTGAACTTTGTTGATTTTACACTGTTTTCAATGGGGCTTGAATTGGTTCAGTGCACCCACAGTGCAGCGAGCCCAAAAAATTAAATTACATAGCGCCCTCATTAGCCTAAAGCGTAGTCGTGTTATGGTCACGTGACGTTCATAGCGACAAGTACACAACCTGCAGAAGACACAACTACCACCGTGCGAAAGCAGAATTTGTTGAATTTTAACACGAATTTTAGCTGGGAAAATGGCAGAAGAGGAGTCAGAAACAACAGGAGGAAAGATTGGCAGCAAGCGTATATTTGTTAACCACGTTGATTGTTATCACGGCAAGAATATTGGGAAAGTAAGTGTCACCGTCACAAAAAGCTTTCCATTTTGACCGAAAGCTGAAGTTCAGGTTCAAGTTGCTGTTTGGAGTTCTTGGCAATGGCTGAATTAGCCCCATAAATGTGGCCAATTTACTGGATTTCCTTCTTTAATAAAGGCCACATTTCCACCATGTACAAAAACATGTCGAACTTTCTCAAATTTTGATTTTCACATTTAGGCTTAGTTTGTAGTTTGTTTTTGCTTTAGTTTAGAAGCGTACTCACCCTCAGGCTAATCAGAATGAGTGCTGCCTTTTTCAGATGTCTATTTTTCGTGAATTTCCAGATTCATTTGCACCATTTGCGTATCAAAATTTCGACATGAAATTTCACAAAAATTAGACATCTGAAAAAGGCAGCACAAAACCTCCTCCTGATTCATGTGATTGACTGGACTCATACCAACGTCTTCTCCTAGAACTATGAGGCTCCACGTAGTGGAGCCAGTCATAGGTTCAGAACCCCGCAAAATTGTTGTCAGCACAAAACACTAATTAAGTACAAAAACGTCCATCCCAACCAAGCTTTTTTCCACAGAACCGCTGCACAGTTTGCCCCTAAACTCCGTACAATACCTCATGACATACCCACGTTATGTGCACCCAACAAACATCGGTGGATTCTGTCTGTTTTCGGCAAAAATGATGAAAAATATGCCCTTTCCGCACTGAGACATCTTAACACTTGAAACGAGCACGCGCGCAGAATGATCGCAGTCATTTTTGGGTTCTATCGCAAATTTACATCTTACTTTTGAACATTATTTTAGTTCTTGTACTTAATTATTTTCTTTAATTTAAATTAAAAAATAAATAAAATATAACAAAAACAGGTAAAATTGAAATCATCATTAAAGAATATTCTTGTCTTTTTCACTTTAATATCAAATTTGCCCTAGCTGGCCATCTCATTTCTACATTAGATGACTAATCCGAAGAAAAGAATGATGCATCCTGACGCCACTTTTTTCATCCGCTCAGTCAGAGCCTCCGCTCAGACTGGAGCAAAACTTTAAAATACCACGTACATTCAACCACGCAGTAGCCCCACTAACTGGGGCGCTAGAACCACTTTTTTTTACATTTGGGATTTTGGTCTGTCGTACTAGCGCCCCACTACAGAAGCATTCTCAATGTTTCATTTTCCACCACAAAAGTTCACCACAAAAGTTGCCAAAAATAAATGCAATACTTGACAAAAATACCTTTGAAAGCACCTACTGGCTTCTCCACACCAGCGACTGTTTCATGACAAGGCGCACTATGCATGTTGCAGGCCTACTCTTGTACCACGCCATGTCATGAAACAGTCACTGGTGCATCCCCCGAGAATAGGTCTCTGAGTACGAGTACTTGTACTTCCGAGTACGAGTACCAGCACTGTACTTACGAGTACGAGTACTTGTATTTCCGAATACGGCCATACGGCAAATGGTTCATTGTGCCTAATTGGCCCAGGCCCAGTCAGACCGATATACAGACCCACTCGTGGCTAGCTGTTAAATGTGTTTGTCCGGACGTGCACAGAGGAAAATCAGGAAACTTAAATTTCTCCACAAGCCAATCCACCATTCAAACTGAAAGTATCGATAAAATAAGGCCGTGGTATATAAAGTCAAGCTATACCATTTCCCCCCGAGTACTGCTATTCGACTGCGAGTACTTTGATGATCGAGTACGATTTTGACATGTCGAGTACGAGTACTTTGCTGCCCGTATACAAGTACCGTCATTTCGAGTAGGAGTACTTTGACATTCGAGCACGAATACAAGTATGAGTACTCCCAAAAAGTACTCGAGTGGTACTCAAGTACGAGTACCGAGTACGAGTACTACAACACTGCCAGTTAGTAAGACTAGCTGCGCTGTACGTTCGGCCACACGTCTGGTTTTGTGACCTACTGAGGAGTTTAGTCCTAAACTAGCGCACTTTTTTTGCCATTTTTTTTACCACTGCATACAGTTGTTTTCTGTGATGTCTCATTTTTTACCCTCCTGGTAGATTAGGTAATCTTTCTTCAAACTTTTCGAGAAATTTAGACACCTTTCTGGAGTCCATATGCGCCAGTTTCGGACTAAACTCCTCAGTAGGTTGGGAGACCAGACATGTGGCCTAACATACAGCGGAGCAATACTGAGGCCACACAAGTGGGGCTAACCACGCAGGTGACGAGGCTTTTTCTGTAGCAGGACCTAGATGCTGGAACTCACTCCCTCTGTAATGGTGAGCGTTACAACAAAATGTTTGTTTATTCTTATCTGTATTTTTTCCTTTGTAGTACCTGTCCAACTGCATCGTCGGTGCGTCACTTGAAGAAATCGAAGAAGAGGAGGAAGACGATGCTTCAGTCAAGAGTGATGTTGTTGGTCCACCCAAGGAGGGCACCTACCACATTATTGGCTCACTCAAGAACCCCAACAAACCCAAACCTGCTTGGGTACAAGAGATCATCAGTGTGAGTTTTTGTTAGTCTGATTGTCCAAAACAAACTTTTTTTGAATTGTTTGCACTGAAGTTAACCAAAGGTTCTAACCCAAATAATATGTTGTAAATTCCTTTTTACCAACATTTTTTATGTTGGGTGCCCGCTGCTACATACGATTTGAGCCAGCCAACCGATCCCGCAAGCTCAGTGGTCGAGTGGTAAGATGTCTGCACTAGAAAGCAGGAGGTTGTGGGTTCGAGTCCCACCTGAGTGATTTTTTCCAACTTTCACTCGGGAGGTAACACACTGAGTACACATTAGTGAAGGGCAAAGCCTAATATTAAACATTTTTTTTATGATCCATAAAAGTCAAATACACATTTAGTTTTGGTTGTTGACATGAGTGAGATTTTAAAAAAAAATGTTTTGTGAACAAACTCCTGATTTGACATGTCATTCAGTATTATTAGAAAATCTACAATCTAACGTGAAAATTATTGGGGGAGAATTTTGCATTCTTCATCTGAAGCCTTTTAACATATGCCTTCAATCCCCCCCCCCCTCCTTTGCCTCCCACCTCCACTGCAGTTTCCAGAGAAGGAACAGATGTTGGAGCATCTTGCAGAATGTGACGTGGTAGTCTACGACATCAATGAGGATCCTAGTCAGATAGACGAAGCCTCCTGGGCCGTTTCAGGTAAAAGGTCTAATCAGTGTGTCGTTATCAAAATCACAAGATATTTCGATTCCTGGGCCCAATTTCATGGTGCTTGGTAACAGTCAGCAGAAAAATTGTGCTAAGTATGGAAGACAATTGTGCTAACCTCTTTGAAAGCATTGTTTCTCAGCGTTGATGTGCATGTGGTTGGGCACGCATGGAGATTTCTATTGTTTCAACCCTGAGGGTTGAGGCAAGCGTGCCTTTCAGTGTGCTCACGGGCTCCTTAACCCTAAAAAGGCCGGGGGGGGGCGGAATCCGGCCCCCCCCCCCTCACCTTTTTCCGCGGTAGCTTTAAAAAAAAAATCGCGACCCGAGCTGTTGTGACTTTTTAGCCTCGAGCCTTGCGCATCTTTTGATACCAAAAATATAAAAATCGGACCACGGTCACAAAATTTTTTGGCGCTATGCGCCGTGAAAACTGAATTTTCCCATATATGTTGTGTACACAGAGCAGAATTACCATTCATACATATGAATAATTAATTAGCCATAATTCCTAAACCCTTTGACCTATAGTCATGAAATTTCTTGGGTGTGTTAATGATGAGTTGCTCTATGCATGTACCGAGTTTCAAAAATGTTCGTCACTCGTTGGCCGAAATCAACATTTCATGATTTTTCTTTCTTTCAGAATTGTTCCTATATATGCAAAATCATAGCAGGTACCAACAAAACAAAGACGTGTTTCTTTTAGTGCATGATTTCAAAAACGAAGAAAACCAAAAATTTCAAGTAGTCTGGCTCCCTGACTCCACTAAAGATAAAATGGATCATTTATAGATGCCGGAAAATTGTAAGATAATGGAACCAGTCTAACTGGCCTGCACCCGTTCATGAACATGTAACCAATAGCAAACAAAATTTGGACTGAAAAAAAATTGGTAAATTTGGAGCAGTAGTTGAAAAATAGTTAGGTTTTTCCAACGGTGGTCGGCCGACCACCATTGGAAATTTATACAAAATACCACTTTTCTTGAAAATGACTTCACACATGGTGCCATAATTTTACAGGATGCTTCGGACTGTCATTTACCAACATCCTAATAAAGTATTTCATAAAAAAAAATGGTAGTTTTGTTTTTCGATGTTTGCAAATGTTGTATATTCCCTTTAAAAGACATTTAAAGGAGTTTGGAATTGTTTGTATAAATTTGGTAGGGTTTATTATTTTGAAATTCTGATTATTTTGGATTATCCATTTTCTAAATGTTAAGTATGTTTGTATTTTGACAGCATTGCATGCAGAGCTGGAGCGATTTGAATCCCCCAAGATGTTTGTCCTGATCTCCAGCATCATGACATGGGCCAAGAGCAAGCCAGTAGATCCAGTAAGTGAATGCCAATCAATTGCATCCAGATCTTGCAATAAAGTATACATGAAAAACATCTGATGGTGAAGTGGAGTGTCACGGCCTAGCGGTTAAGAGCACCGGACTCATGTTCTGGTGTTTCAGAGGCAACAGTGACGTGGGTTCGAGCCCGCCAGCGGACACTTGTGCCCTTAAGCAAGGCACTTAACCATTCTTGCTTCGTCCTTCGGATGGGACGTAAAGCCGTAGGTCCCGTGTGTTGTATAATGCACGTTAAAGAACCCAGTAACACTTGTCGCTAAGAGAAGGGGTTGGCCCCGGTGTCCTGGCAGTGGCCGCAGCACCTTGTAAGCCCTTATAAGGTGCTACATAATGGGTCTCATATTTCTCATGTACTTCATTCATCTAATAATAGACATAACTTCCAGTGCCTTGAGTATAAACTCCGTTGCGATAATGCCTGAATAGGTTTCTGCAACGTAACCATACAGATACAGATACAGACAGATGGTCCCCAGATTGTGACCAATCAGAAGAGACCTTTTTGCTTGCTGATTACGTAATTGATGATGACATGTTGTGTCCACATTGGGACCGATTTCACTATTTTTTGTCTTTTGCCACCTCATTTAAAACTGTTTTCCACAGACTGTCAAATATTTACGAGTAGTGTGGATCTCAGCCTTCAGTGCATTTTTGCAGCTGATCACTGACAAAAGTATATGAAAACACCAGTAATAACACTTCAAACATCAAGATCTTATGTGGTCAAAAACTTTGTAAAGCCTGTCATGTTATTTGGTTCAGTAGAGTTGACTGACATGTACACATAGGTGTCTTCTGTATAGTTTGGAAACTCACACAGAATGGTAATTTGAATAATTTTTGTTTTTTCCTTGCTCCCTTTATTTTGTTTGTTTTTGCTAGGACGACACTGAGATTCCATTTACCGAGGAGGATTACAGACGGAGGAAGCCGCACTCCAACTTCAAGGCCCACATCAGCGCTGAGAAGCTGGTCATCAAGTTGGGGAAGACGGTGAGTGCCAGACTCATTTATTTGGTTTTTTTTAGGTTTGTTTTTTGTTTGTTGGGTTGTTTGTTTGTTTTTTCAACAGTTGATTGAGGGCCAGATGATAAAAACCCTTGATGTAAAATATCTGGTTCCCCCTTATAAATTGTCGTAAGTTGAATTTGCGTTTTGAGCCGTTGCATCATATCATAAATATTTTAGAATCGAATCATTTTGTGGCGATACCATTAGACATACGGATCACCCACAGATTCTGTATCTTGATTGGCCGAGAGTGCATCACATGGTATCGGCTAGTTTTACCATCTTGCCTTGCACAGCCAAAAAGACTATACAATGGCCCAAATGGCCCAAAAGACCATACAATGGCTGAAAAAGTACTTGTTGCTACCAATGTAGCAACTGGATGTCTGTGTGCACATGCATACAGGTGTGTGAATTGCGTGTATTGTTAATGCGGACTGAAGAGTTTGGCTCTAACATTTTATGAAGGGGTAATATGGAAAAAAAGTGAGTGAATTTTCAGCTAATTTCACACTGAAGTAGAAGTACTTTTTTTATTGGATTGGGTTGATTTAATCAGTCATCTCTCAACAAGTAGAGTCTGTTGGGTTGCAACATTATAAAACAAATATTGACTGCTTTATCTCGTGGTGTAGTAAAACTAGCCTCCCTCGGTGATCCATGGAGCATTCCAACCACCTCGGGAGACTAGTTTTACTACACCACAAGTTAAATTATTCATTAGTTGTATCCTCTGTTTGCCGAATTTGCATGTCGGTGGTAAAGGCAGAAAATAGTGGATTTTCTATTGTCGTCAACTTAAAAAAAACTTTGCAATCAGAAAAGTGAACGGTTTAGCATCTGGAATACTTGCTTTCCATGCTGAATTTTTCAATTTCTTTTTCTTCCAGAACAAAGCTAAGTTTGTGACCTACGTCATTGCCTCTGGGCTAACCTATGGCGGAGGGGAGAATATATTCCACTATTTGTACAAGGTGAGTCAAACATACATTAGTCAATGTGGGTTTTTTTATTGTGGATGTTGTGTAATCCAGTGGTCAGATGTAACTTCAAGTTGTTACAAATTTCAAATCTGTCTTGTATATTAAAGACACTCAAGTTTGTCGTACGTAATCCACACAAAAAATGTGTTGCAGTGTGAAACAAGTTTTACATCTCAATCATAATGAAGTTGATTCTACTTTTTAAAGTAATTACTTTTTAACAGAGCAAATGAAGTAAAGACTGTTGGGGTCATACAGCAAATTCAATTCAATTTTTTGGGCTCTTTGTGCTGCAAAAATAGAATGAGAATCAAATTATTGTTTTATTTAATTTATGAGTTGCAGACCAACTTTTAATTCTAATTATTAATTCTTAGCCCAAAAATACAAATGTTACTCTTTTGTTTCCTTTGTAGGCGGCTTGGCATGGTGAAATTGAAGCCCTTCAGTGCTTTGGCAATGGCATGAACATCCTGCCCACTATCCATGTCAAAGATCTGGCTGGGTGAGTGCACATTTCACATCACTTTTGTATTGATTTGAATGAATAATTTCAAGAACTCATTTAAAAAAAAACTAATACAACAATATTTCCCCTGACAGAATGTTGGCTCCCCCATAGCTCGTCGCAGTTTTTTCTCTCATCCTCTGAAAATTCACTACTCCTTTAAAGAGAAAATACAACATTTGCATACATCAAAAACCGAAATGATCAAATTATCACGAAATACCATACTGAATTGTTAGGGAACGACAGTCTAAAGCCGTGTAAAATCGTGGCTCCTGATGTGCTGACATTTTCAAGAAAAACTGTATTTTTCCAAAGCTGGTCGGCCGACCAGCGTTGGAAAAAAACTGGCTTTTTCAAAAACTGCTCCTACTTTTTCATATTTAGCTATTCCGCATTTTCTTTGCAATTGATTACACACCTGTAAAGGGGTACAAGCCTGCTAGACTGATTCTTTGACCTTACAATTCCCTAAAGTCTACACATTGCTCTGTTTCATCCTAAGTGGGGTCAGGGAACCAGACTACAAGAACATGATTGGTTTTCTATGTTTTTCCAGCATCTACAAGCCAAAAACGTGAAACAAGTCAAAAACGTGAAACAAGTCAGTTGAACAATACTTGCTATAACATACTTATCCTCCAAATTCATTTATTTCTGAAAACTGCAGCAAAAGCAAATGTACATTAATTCCCTTTAAAGATACATAGGATCATTTGCTTTCCGTGCATATTTTTCCTTTGAAGCTACAAATGCTCAAAATCTTAAATTTCACAGGGTATTTGTTACCATCACCATCTTTCCTTTGAGCAAGGTTTTTCTAATTAAATCAGTAGGTAACGACCAGTGTTCCCACATGCATTTAAAAAGAAATGGCAGGACAAGAAACAAACATTCTAACTTTAGAGGTGGTCTTTATCATACTTAGTGTTAGTGGTAAGGAGTCTAAGAATGATTGGGTCTTTTTATCTTCATTTTTCTCCGTTCAGTGTCATCCAAAACATTGCCGATGCAAGACCTAAGACCAGATACTTACTGGCTGTAGACGATTCTCAGAACTCACTGGAGGAGATTGTCAAGGTAATGTAATCATTATTTCAAGTTGTTTTGAGACCCCCCCCCCCCCAAATATAATAGAAAGTGACTGAATTGCAACGTCTGTATTAATGTAAAAAATAAATAATTGTTGACATGCAGAGAACTTAAGAGAATTTTCTTATTTTAAAGGCCTAATTGCCACTAAAACAGTAAATCCTCTGTTTTTCATGGACAGTAGACGGACGAGCATTTGTGTCAATCACAGGCATGTCAACCTGTCTCAAATTACTGTTTTTCCTCATGATCAGTCCAGATTATGCTTAAAGTTGCACACCCCGTGCTCTTCAAAAATGGATTTTTTTTTCTCTCAACAAATTTTCAACTTGTGTGTTGTGTTGTTATAATGAAAGAATTACTTTATTCCGATTTTGGGCATCTGCAACCCTCTGAAAAACGGCTTTCATTTTGTGCGCAAGTAGACTTGCCATGCGAGAACCAAATTATTGCCTGGCAGCTAATAATGTGAATTTTGTGAAGAAACAACTTAACTAATTGTCAGTGGAGTTTTTCATTCAATGTCTCATTCAAAAGTGAATAACTGTTATTTATTGTTAAGAAAATAGCAATTGAAAAAAAAACACATCTATTTTTGAGGTAAAACTTAGATATGCATGGAAAAGGCATATTTAAGTTGTTTTAGAAGTTTCTTTCGTAGACCCATTATTAATGGTAATTCAAAGTAAGAACTGGTTGAAAATGATCATTAATTGACAATCTGGTTTTGTTTCTGTGTACCCAGTGCATAAGCACCAATCTCGGTAACGGCAAAGTCAAACACATCACCAAGGAGGATGCACTGCTCAGCAAGGGGCTTTCGGTGAGTTTGTCAATGGATTCCTACTTATCTTCAGGAACATGTTGAGGATGAATATTAATTCAGGCCATATATGTATCATGAGTGATACACTCTTTCAGAGTGAACTGAAAGTGATTTTAGTACCTTCGCTTTATTTACATACTACAATAGGCCCGGTAAGACATAATGAAGTCACGTTTTGTTTACATGTGCGCTTTTCTTATGGGAGCTTGATTGCTCTCGTCCCTACTGGGTCCCATAGAAAAGTGCACATGTAAACAAAGCATGACATCTTATGTCTATTCCAGATTCAAAACATTTACAGTATGGGAATAATATCAAATTGTAAAATAGGTTTTGTTATTTTTCTACCTCTGTTTGCTAATTATATGGAAATATGTCTTTCACCGGTCTTAATTTCACTTTGTTTCATGCTTTTCACTTCTTCTTTTTTTCAAAATCTAGCTGGAAAAAAATGTGTGCTGTGCAAAATTTTGTTTTATTCTGGATTATTTATACGCAGTGTTTTGGGTGTGTTTTTTTTTTCATTTCATTCGTCACATATGGTTAGCAAGGAGGTTTTTGATAGGGGAGGAAGTGCATTTTCTTTAGTCAAATTTTTGGCACAACTTTCAAGAATTTATGCCCCTCTGCCTTAAGGGCCTTTCACGTTATCCAAAATCTCTGTGTCGGACCTGGGTTGACCAAACCCCAAGAAATGGCTACCCCATTCACGCAGGCAAGAATCCAACTTGGGTTCTACAATGGTCCAGCATAGTACAAGATTAAGATAAGTCAACGCTGAACGGAACGGGGGTTGAGAGGCTCTACCCATGTAAATACATTACTGCTGATCCATGTATGAATTGGTAATAGTGTGAACAATATGCCTTGCTGATCCAACCTGATTCTGCTAATAGTGGATCTGTGTTAATTTCAACCCATGTAGGTGAGATGTTAGTGTGTAAAGGCCTTTAGTATTTTATTCATGCAATATACGTTGTATTTTGTTGATTTCTAGCAACAAGACTTTGACATGCTGTTGACTAATCTTCGGATGGACGGCGTGTACACCAAGGAGAATATGAACATCCGCTGGGTGTCGGAGAGAGGCATCATTGAGAACATTCCTCAGATCATCCAAGAGTTCAAGGCTACGAGGGGTCTTCTGGTAAGTCCTGAACAGACTTTCATGCATCAATGTTGGTTTGTTAGTGTTCACTAGCTAACTATAGACTAATTCAGCAACAGCTGTTTTCTGAGGTGGTACCAGGCTGGCGTGAGTCACGTTCAGGTAATACACACGCACTCTGGGTTCCTTTGACCAAAAGGGTTAGCAACATGTGCGTGCGAATCGTCTTTAAGAATGCGTGCGGACGTTGTTCCACCTCAAGAACGGCTTCTAATTTTTTTTTTTTTTTTTTTTTTTTTTTTTTTTTTGACAACCTTTTTTTTTTGCATGGCAACCTTTTTGTATGAATTTGCTCAAGCCTGTAACTTATTTGCGCGAGTCTTATGTGCGAGTCTAATTTTTAATTTGTTCAGTGTATAGCTCTGAATGTACAAGAATTACCGACTCAGGTACTGTGAAAGTCCAGCTGCTGACCCTACATTGTGTCCTTGGGCAAGCCACTTCACCCCCACTTGCCTCTCTCCACCCAGGAGTATAAATGGGTACCGGCATTAGCTGGGGAGTAACCTGCAATGGACTGGCATTCAATCCAGGGGAAATATAAATATTCTCAGTCGTTTCATGCTACTGAAACAGGAGATAAACGCCAGCCTGATGGGCCACATTTGCTCGGGACAGACTTTACATACTTTCTTGCACATTTAGTACTGTTTATAAAACCAAATGGGATTGGGTATACTTTGATGAGTCATTTTTGTTATTTTTGGAACAACCGATAACTACAGCGAAATATCTTGCTGTCACAAAGCACTATCTCAGGGTAGCTGCCTCCTCAGTGAGATATTTTCCCACAAGCAGTTTTCTTAATTGTCGTTCGGTGATATTTTTTTTGTTTTCCAGCCGATGCGTGGTTGTGTCCTGGGCCCCCCTGCAGTCGGCAAAACCTGTGTGGTGGCTGCGCTGTGCAAGCATTATAAACTGCACCACATCAAGATTAAAGATGTCATCGATGAAGCTATTGAAGTTCTGGTAAGTGTCAACTGGGAGCAGATACCTTAATCATCAGTTTGGCCTGCTTAAGTGCCCTGAAACATTTTGGATTCTAGATGCTCTGTGGTGCAATCTGAGGCATTTCCTGGCCACTTTCCCTGACTTTTTAAGCAAAACTTTGTCAGTTTTTATGCCCCGCGGCGAAGCCGAAGGGGCATACTGTTTCCGCCTTGTCCTTCCGTGGGTGGGTGTGTGGGTGGGTGTGTGGGTGGGTGTGTGGGTGGGTGTGTGGGTGGGTGTGTGGGTGGGTGGGTGTGTGTGTGTGTCCGGACAAATCTTGTCAGCGCGATAACTTGAGAAATACTTAACATATGAACTTCAAATTTGGTTTGTGGATTGTTCTTGGTAATCCTAAGAAGCCTTTTGCATTTGGGGCCAAAAGGCCAAAGGTCAAGTTCACAGTGGCTAAAACAATAGAAATCTTGTCAGCGCGATAACTTGAGAAATACTTTACATATGAACTTCAAATTTGGTTTGTGGATTGTTCTTGGTAATCCTAAGAAGCCTTTTGCATTTGGGGCCAAAAAGCCAAAGGTCAAGTTCACAGTCGCTAAAACAATAGAAATCTTGTCAGCGCGATAACTTGAGAAATACTTTACATGTGAACTTCAAATTTGGTTTGTGGATTGTTTTTGGCAATCCTAAGAAGCCTTTTGCATTTGGGGCCAAAAGGCCTAAGGTCAAGTTCACAGTGGCTAAAACAATAGAAATCTTGTCAGCACGATAACTTGAGAAATACTTTACATGTGAACTTCAAATTTGGTTTGTGGATTGTTCTTGGCAATCCTAAGAAGCCTATTGCATTTGGGGCCAAAAGGTCAAGGGTCAAGTTCACAGTGGCTAAAACAATAGAAATCTTGTCAGCGCGATAACTTGAGAAATACTTAACATATGAACTTCAAATTTGGTTTGTGGATTGTTCTTGGTAATCCTAAGAAGCCTATTGAATTTGGGGCCAAAAGGTCAAGGGTCAAGTTCACAGTGGCTAAAACAATAAAAATCATGTATTTATTCTGAGATTATAGGGATTAGGGATTAATTCATATAAAACCTACAGAAGACACTAATGCTGTCAATGAATGTTCCATGTGACCAAGGTACATGTAAGTTGATGTTAAAAGAGTGGTGTTATGTCATGGGAACTGTCACCGTTGCGGGGCATTTGTGTTTGTAAACACACCTGACTTGTTTTTTTTTATTTCTTAGTGGAACTCGTCACCAAGTGTTGTTTCGTCACTCAGTGTACGTGCCTGATCATGTGCAATACTTGCTTGAAGTCCAATAATAAGATCAAATTTAAATATGTAAAAAAAAAAATCATAAGTAAAGTGTAATCGTTGACTATTTAAAGCTACAGTCCATCATTTGTAATTTGTGCATTTTGTTCGTTTGAAGCAACAAAAGAGTTCAAAATCTAATGAAGGATACTGAGCAACTAACCTGATGAAGTTTCAGCTAAGCTTCAGCTGTACATTCCGAGAAAAACAGCATTCTAAGATCTCAATTTCAAATCAAAAGTTACTGAATCATGTTTTGAATTGTTTTGAATTGCAGCTATACGCGACGTCGCGCACTGATCCGACGAATTATAACAACCGCGCGCGCGTGTGCGTCATTCCAATACTTGTGCGCGCTGCGCTGAATAACAAAACGAACTACTAATTTAAATTTTCCTACGGTGCTTCTTAAGAATCACCGTTGGAAATGCCTTCTTTCGTTGATTACTTCAAAATGACAGCTTCCCAGAAAGAATACTTTCACAGGGAGTTTAGTTCCCTTACTATCTTTCAACCAAGTTTGTTTTTCAACAATAATTACGCCAGTTACTTTTCGGATGGCTGCAAATGATGGACTATAGCTTTAAAACAACCTGCTGGGAAGTTAGGTTGGCACTTTCTTCACCTTCCTCTGTGAACTGAGTTTGAATCCTAGCTGACATGTGGATAGGATTTTAAGTCCCTGGCCTTTTTAAGAAACAACATTCTAAGATTCACTCCTTCAAGACTTATTTCAACAACAGGAGAAGAGTGCAGCCAGAGCAGACGCTGATGAGAACGAAGATGATGACGGCAAGGCACAAGAGGACCAGGAGTTACTGGAAGCCATCATGGAGAGCAAGGAATCCAATAACGGTAAGTCTATTGGAGCCGTGCGTGAACACTAGAGGCGCTAGAAGCCAACTCAGGATTGTCAAAACCTCTGGGTTAACCTCTAGTTACGCCCTGTCTATTTTCACATTCTCCCCTCGGCATCTCATCCAAACCACGTCTGAACACAGACTCAAAATGGCAGACTGTTGTAGTCAGCCATTTAAAGTCTGATACCGGCGATCGCATTGATTGTCAGGTTGACCTTTGATGTAGGGGTCAACCTAATTTGAATATCAAACTGGATACACACTTGTGCGTATTGCCTACATCTCAATTCTGTGTGTGCATGGTGGCTCAACCATTGAGATCTACAGGTATGAAAAATTGTCACAGCGCACAGCAACCAATAAGATGTCCGAAGCACGAGGCCGTTGCCTGTCCTCATATACATATGTGTTTTGAGGGCGGGTGTCCGGTCTAATTCAGAGTTGTTTTCGAGTCCATCACAAGTCCCTGCAAGTCTATCACAAGGCCCTGCTAGTCCGTCACTAGTCTTCCAGTCCCAATTTCAATCTCAAGCTGTTCAAATAAGCTTTGACAAAGGCATTCCATTGTTATTGTTCATCCCTTGTTACTTGTGACTGGACTTGTGAATGGACTTTTGATTTACTTATGATGCACTCGACAACAACACTGGTCTAATTCAAACCTTGCTTGAAAACAAGGACTAGTCCAGCATTTCCAGTGAATGTCTTCACACCTAGCAAAATGGATGAATCTGTTCATGCGCTTGAATTCTTTTTTATATCCATTATGGAAATATTACTTCTTTCGGCTTATCCCTTTTTAAGTATTTCAATTATAGAAACTCAGAAGGCAAAATTATGGTCAAACTGTAAACATTTTCAACCGTTTACTCTATTTGCCAAACAGAAAGGCAATTTGCTCAGTCAAAGATGGTACTGTAGACCTTTGAATTCTCAGTCAGCAAAAATAATTGACGGTTTTAACAAATTGCTAGTGTAAATTTATTTTGGATGTTTCTGTGTCGAATTTCAACCCTCTGGAGACGATCTGAATGAAGCGATGTATTATATGTACACAATTTTGTAGCAGAGTTTGACTTAATGGCAAGATTTATATCATTCTGGTTGTTTTTTTTTCTTGTAACTATTTCTTAGGTCGCATCGAGGACCAGTACATCCTTCGCTTTTACCGGGACAAGCTTCATTCCATGCCGTGCCAGAACCAAGGCTTTATCCTGGACGGCTTCCCTAAGACTATGGAGCAGGCTAAGGAACTCTTTGCCGGTAAGGATCTAGGGGAGGGGATGAGGTAAGGAAGGGGTAGTGGGTGGGGTGGGGGATAGGGTGAGGAAGGGGTAGTGGGTGGGGTGGAAGATGGGGTGAGGAAGGGGTAGTGGGTGGAGTGGGGATGGGGTGAGGAAGGGGTAGTGGGTTGGGTGGAAGATGGGGTGAGGAAGGGGTAGTGGATGGGGTGGGGGAGGGGTGTGGAAGTGGTAGGGGATGCATGGTGAGGAAGGGGTAGGGATGGGTGAGGAAGGGGTAGGGGATGGGTGGTAAGGGTTGGGGTGGGGGAGGGGTAAAGGGTGAGGAAAGGGTAGGAGATGGGGTGAGGAAGGGGAGGGTATGGGTGTGGACGGGGTAGGGGATTGGGTGAGGAAGGGGGAGGATGGGGTGGAGAGGGATTGAGACTTGGCAGTTATTGATCGATTCTGCATACCTCATGGAATTAGATTTTCAATAAGTTATTATTTGTTTGGGGTACACACCAATCATATCAGAATTCACCAGTGGGAATAAGTGCTAAAAGGTTAATGTAACTAAAAATCCAGCATTACTACTCATCTAGATTGGGCCATGAATCTTTTTGAAGTGTTCCCTCCTAATACCAACTTGTTCAAGTGTACTGAGAATTATTTTATTTCTTTGTGCTGTTACTGGATACATTTGTGTAACTGGTGAGCAAGGGTGAAAACTTAATGTGGACAAAATGTGCTCAGAATGTACGCATATCACTAACATAGTGGTTAGCTACCAACAGCGCTTTACCTTTTCTTTACAATATTTTGTGCAAGCGATAATTCACTAAGGGGCAATGGCACCTTATTTCTTGGTAGGAAAACAAAATTAATTGCAACAAAGCATCTTTTATCAATCATTACCAGCCACTTTATCACCAATGGAACTCCAACCCCATTTTTTGTTACCACTTGACGCCGGGAATATTTTTGGCTGAAAAACATAATTTTGAAAAAGACAAGATATATTGGCCAAATTTCAAAAATAAGTCAAACACAACTAACACTAACTCATGAGAGTCCTTTGCAATTTTTGTACAATACTTCTCACCGTAACTTCATATTTTGCAACACTCTGAGGTCCCGCCACGGAGAGATATTTGCTACAACTACAGGCCCTGTAGTGCAGCCAAGTTCAAGTTCAACACACGGTGTGTACAAAAACAATGAGGACCACTGACATGTATACACATCCACCGCCGGAGACTAGGGGAAAGCTTGACGATTTAACCGTCACCCTGCCCTGCGAATATACATTGCCAGATCGTGTTTACACGTCCACCGGCATTAACTGTTTAAAAAACGTACACGTTTGTTTGTGCTCAATGAAGTTCAGTGTTCACTTTTGCAAAGAAAAAATGAAACTATTGATCTTTTCATCTTTGTTTTTCAACAGCTGAGGATGAAGAGGAGCAAGATGAGAATAGCAAGGTGCCCATCTATGACAAGACCACCATGCCGGAGCTAGTGGCCTCCTTGGAAGCACCGGACGACTTCTTGAAGAAGCGAGTCATGAACCTCCCTGAGAATACGGTGGCTGGTACCCACAACAATGAAGAAGGGTTGATCCGACGGCTGACGGAGTACCGGGCAGTCAATGAGGAGGACACCACCGTGCTTAACTACTTTGACGAACTGGAGATCCACCCTGAACATATCGGTGAGTAATTGCTGTAAAATGGATTGAATTAAGATTTAAATTTTGTATACGCACTTTGCTAAGAAATTATATATAATATGTTTAGGGCCCAATTTCGTAAACAAACAATGTTGCTAATCCAATATCAGTGGAGAATCAGTCATATGCAAGTATGCCATTTTGGCTGGTAACCTGTCTTTGCTGAGGAAGATTTGTATAGATCTGTACTTTGCAAATTTCTGTGCTTGGCAGCCCTGTGAAATGGGCCCTGGTCATGTTGGGAAAAATTTGGAACTATAATTAATTACTATACCTCATACATATTCATGATCGAGAGCCGAGTTCTCACTGGTCCATTCACCATCATGTGTCAGCTGGTAGTTTTGCAGTTAACCAAGTGCGCACGCGAGGTTTAATGCACAAGTTAAATACGCACGGCGTAAGTAACGGATTGGTTACCAGTGCGCTAGTCTACTAGGCATGCACTTTACGAAGCAACCCTATAACTAGCGCACGGGGGTAGTGCGCACGCGCGAACATCGCCCTAGCTAGCAGCATGCAGCAGCTACATGAAAAGATGGGACACAATAACATTTTTGCCGAGAAGAAACATATGCATAACTTCATGAAATTTTTGTGAATGTATATGAGGTATAGCAAAACAAATGAAACACGGTTTAGAGTTTGGGATTTTCGCCTCGGGAACTAGTTCTTCAACTTCCAATACCTCGGGCAGCTAATATCGACTGTCAACCCTCAAACCATGTTTTATTCGTATATACCGTAGTTCATTTAACTCTGATCAAATGCTGGTTTGTCAATGAAGGTTGGGCTAGTCTAACTTATTATTTGTGACCAGCCTAATGAGGATGGTTGCATCACTGGTTACCAATGGCCGTGTGCATCATAACACACAGCAGGGAACCAGGACCAAGAAGTTTGGGTGACATTTGGACCAGTGTTTGGCTAGTGAAATTTGCATGTTACTATCAATTGGCAGGTGTAAGTAACATCATGAATAAACTAGTCCTTGGTCCTTGATCAATGGTCCTTGATTGAACTTGTTCATGTCTTCTCCCTGAATCCAGACATGACCAAGGAGGTGGACCCCAACAACGCCACCATCGTGGAGCAGATCGTCAAGATCATGGGGGAGCCCCGCAACTACGGTCCCACCTCAGATGAAGTCGAGGAGATGGAGCGCACCGAGACGGAGAAACGACTCAAGAAGGAGCAGGAGGAGAAAGAGGAACGAGAGAGGCAGGAGGCAGAGGAGTCAGCACTCAGAGATCAGAGAGAGAAGGAATGGGTGAGTTCAGCCAAGCTACTGTGGCGGCAGTGAAGGGTACCAATCAAATCCAGCCTAGACAATATCGGCTTTCAGGCCAATGAAATTCTGAACATACTTTAGCTTTACACATGCTTTAATCATGCCAGTGCAAGTGTGTGAGTAGAGCTACAGCCGAACCACCGAACAGAACTAAAATTTGTCGAACATAGCACTCCGAACCGAACTGAATTGTTCAGTTTGGATATTGAGAAACGCAATTTTTAGTGTCGCGTATTTTTAACAGTGCAATCAAAATAATCTAAACTTGCACCATAAAATTATCAAATTTTACTTCTAATTAAAACAGAAGGATATTTTAGGCAAACAGTACCAACTTGGTTTGCCAACGCTTCTTATGCTCTCAATCTCCATCAATGTGAAAGAAAAAAAATATGAAAGGGGTAAATTTTCTGATGGTTTTTGATGTCAAAATTGTTGAGATGTGTTTTTGGTAAGACAAAATGGGCTATACGGACATGTTTTTTACATACGGAACTCAACTCTCCGAAACATTTTGCACTTCGAGCACGTAAAAAACATGATTTTGTTTTTATTCGCGTGGTAAGGCAGCGGCAGTGTGGCATAACCAGGTTTATTCTGGCTCGGGAATGATTCCTACAAATTAAGGGCTCCTAAAAGGTTTATTACGCACAAAGACGATTATCAGGTATCGTCACACAGCAACTCAATTTGATGTTCTAATCTGCTGCCAAATTCGAGCTGAACCAATGTTCGAATAAAAATTGCAAAACCGAAACGAACCGAACCTGAGGTATAGTCCCGCAAGAACTCAATTTGATGTTCTGATTTGCCGCCAAACTGGAACTGAACCAATGTTCGGATAAAAATTGCTGACCCGAACTGAACCCGAAGCGAACCTGAGGGCTCACTTTCAGCACTATGCATGAGATATGCTCAGAATTTCTTGGACCCAAGTTTCGATAGCATTTACTGCTGAAAGTAGCTCAGCTGCTATTGTAGTGGACTGGCTGCGTTTGGGGAACATAAATTAAATTGAATCCAGACAAGTGTGGGAAGGACAATACATGTGCACGAGTACACAAACTACTAGTTCGAATGTGCACAAACCAATCAGAGACTTTATCTGAGCATAGGTGAACAGACGCAGCAGTGCTCCACTACCCTTATTCTCTCAATCTTCTTCACAGTTGATAGGTTACTCATGCACAAAGCTCCAGTATTTAAGCTGTCAGGCTCTGTGACTTATTTCTTGATTATAAGTCCTTCAATTGCAACATTCTGTTCTAACTTCTTCTTTTTTTGCCCTCAGGCGGAGAGACTTGAGGAGGTCAAACGTCAGGAGACAGAGCAGCTAGAGAACCAGTCCATTCCACTGCGTAACTACCTGATGAAGCATGTCATGCCGTCCTTGACCCAGGGACTGATTGAGTGCTGTAAAGCCAGGCCAGATGATGCCATCGACTTCCTGGTAAGAAATCTCAATGTAAACCCTCTGCATTCGGCAGCAATCTGCGAGGTGTTTTGTGTTATTTTAATTCAGTAAAATTGAATGTACAAGAGGTCCAGCCATGCATATCTCTGTGGAACAACAGCACACTCACTCCACTGTGGCATTGTGCCCTAAAATAAAGTCCAGTTTGCTTAAAGATATAGTCCATCATTTGTAATTTGTGCATTTTGTTCGTTTGAAGCAACAAAAGTGCTCAAAATCTAATGAAGGGTACTGAACAACTAACCTGATGAAGTTTCAGCTAAGGTTCAGCTGTATATTCCAAGAAAAACAGCATTCTAGGATCTCAATTTCAAATCAAAAGTTGCTGAATCATGTTTTGAATTGTTTTGAATTGCAGCTATATGCGACGTCGCGCACTGAATTATAGCAACCGCGCGCGCGTGTGCGATGTGCCAATGCTTGCGCGCGCTTCGCCGAATAACAAAACAAACTACTAATTTAAATTTTCCTGCGGTGCGTCTTAAGACGCACCGTTGGAAAGGCCTTCTTTCGTTGATTACTTCAAAATGACAGCTTGCCAGAAAGAATAATTTCACAGGGAGTTTCACAGGTTCCCTTACTATCTTTCAATTAAGTTTGTTTTTCAACAATAATTACGCCAGTTACTTTTCGGATGGCTGCAAATGATGGACTATAACTTTTATTTGTTTAACTACTCCAACATTTTCGGCCAAAAAAAAATGCTATTTCACAAGTTCCCCCTTCCCCTTTAAAAAGGGTTGAACTATTGACCCTGAAATCCTAGCATAAAAATAGGTCCTCTGTAGTTTGTCTAATAAAATCCTTACAGTGAGTTTAGCTGGCCAGCAGGGCATGAATAATCATTCATCCTGTCGACAAGACTTGTCAGCAAGCTCAAGTGACAGTTTTCTGACTATACCACCGCAAATTGATAGACAGCACTTGGTAGCGTGATTTGGACCCCTTTCCCTATTCAAAGGTGTACTGTAATTAACAGTGCGACCGTGGAACCGTGGGTATTTAAAAAAGGACAGTGAGGCATAAAGATGGCTCTTCCCCGTGACCGCATGAGGGCGCTATTATTGTTGGCGTGAGGTGGGGGATGTTTTAGACTGAAATAGGTTATAACATTGGGCGTTAACGTTCACCCGAGTTATGTTAAGTGCACTGTATACTCGTTGCTGCCCAAGAGCTAGTGAGAAAACATTTCACAAGGTTTAGTGGGTGGGACAACCTCCTGAAGATGTCTTGTAACTGAACCACTGACCTTGGGGTCAGCTGACTGGTTTAAATCCAATATAGCAGCAGTTACCTGTTCCCATCTTTCCTACAGATATTACAGCATATTTCATCAATGAAATTACATTTGGTTCTTTTTTGGCAGAAGGATTATTTTAAACCTCTTTCCTGGAAGTACTTCTGTCAATTCAGGATATTACTTTTAAAATAATGCCAAGTTGAATCCTTTATTGGTAGGGTAAAGAGTTTTAGCCTTATGCTTAACTCTCTATGCCTGGTAATCCTTCCAGTCAAAGTCATCTGCTTCAACATTGTATCTCATAAATACCTGGAGCTAATACTGGTGCTGGGTCAGGATTTCCCCTCTCTCTATTTTTGACGGTGGATTTATTTACCGACCGTGATTAATCTTTGTTTCAATTTCCTTTGTGCAGGCGGAGTATCTGTTCCGGAACAACCCACAGGTGGATTAGCTGCTGTTGTCCCCAGATGCGTCTATTTTGAAAGATTGAATCTGAACAGTACAACGCATATAGGGAGATCTATATGAACCCTAACCCCTTGAATGATTTTCTAGGATCCTTCCTCACTCCTGCAAAATCCAACACCATATGGTAAACTCAACACCCAAACTGTTGGACTTGATTATGGTGGTATGCCCGACCCCATGTAAGGCCAACAAAAAAAAGTCTCCGGTTTCTGGTATGGAGCTTGCCCCAAAAGTGGTGCGGCGACGCGGCTTTTATTTTTTTTTTTACCTGTTTTTTTTTTTTTTTGGCTTCAAATGTCCGCTGATGACTGCAAATGGTGCCCGACTAAACTTAGTGCAAATATATGGGAGTCCAGAGAGGCCACATAAATCTTATTCTCGATCATAACCCCATCTAAAAACACGTTAAAATTGTGCAGCAGCAGAATTCCAGTCAAACCAGTGAGTTTGGCGGTTTTGAAACATCATCTTGTATTGAAAAAAAAACTTTTTCATTTTGCCGACGCGCATGGCTACGTCGACGCGCGCGCATACCAGAAACCGGAGACTTTTTTTTTTGGCCTAAAGCATAATCAGTTATTAGTGCAGTCCTCACTCCAACAGAATCCAACAAAACATGCAGTTGGATTTTGAAGGGTTGGGAGGTGTGGCATTCACTGCCGAATCCTGCTCTCAAAGAAAGGTCACAAAATTAGGAAACAAAACCATGACAGAATATTTTGATATCCGAGGGTCACTTATCTTTCAAAACCTCTGAAAATGATATTTCGAATACTAAAGGAATTCTCCGATTGTATGTCTTGATTTTTCCAGCAGTCAAACCGATAAAGGTGGTTACATAATCAAGCTACTTCCCAGAGTTGTAACGAGTCACTGATTTTTGTGACTCGAGTCGAGTCGAGTCATTTTAAAGAAGTGACTCGAGTCGAGTCGAGTCATTAGGTCAACAAGGTCGAGTCGAGTCGAGTCGAGTCACAGAGTGTGGTCGAGTCGAGTCGAGTCGAGTCAAGTATTTAGCTCGAGTCAATTCGAGTCACAAATATTTGAACACTAAATTACAATAAAAAGCAACAAACACAAGAGAGAAAGAATACAAGGCACCAGTCTATTACGGTAATCCAAAGACATAAAGTATGCTGTATGGTACCCAACCAACAGTTTCCATTGCTAGCTCACGTCACAGATAAGAAGATGTGAAACTTCGGTCTTATAACTAGTTTGGGTTCGGGTCTAGATTTTGTTGTTCGCTGATCGCTGACAACGTTAAAACCTAATTGCATTATACAAATATGTTTCTGATTATTTAAAGGTGGGCCCGTCCGTATCCATTTTTGTGTGTGAAATCGGGACATGAATTTAGCCAGCGTTCCACCAAGAACTTCAAAATCGCCCGAAACCAATGATGAAACCACGGATTGAGAAATGCGTTTTAAGTCTGGTTCCGGGTTTAGCATTACATGCTATAGAACCACAAGGTGGGAGTCCGCGACACAGTGTATGTTTGTTGTTTCATTATGGAGGAAGGAAACAGACTGCCGCTGTATATAAACGTGCATTATTCGCGAACATTAACGTGACGTGAACAAAAACTGGCAACACGAACGGCGCAGCGTAAGTCATTGCAAATATTTTTCGCAAGTAAGTTTTGCTTTTATTTTGGGACTCGAGTCTTATTAGCCTTCCTTGAGTCGAGTCGAGTCATTCTGATGAGGGACTCGAGTCGAGTCGAGTCATTTGCTCGCAGTGACTCGAGTCGAGTCGAGTCATTTACCCGTCGGGACTCGAGTCGAGTCGAGTCGCCAAAAAATGTGACTCGAGTCGGACTCGAGTCGAGTCATTGACTCGAGTCATTACAACTCTGCTACTTCCATGAAAGGCAACTTCAGGTTTTTGATAAGAGACATGCCGTGATTGGTCTCAGAATTTCAATTTTTCAGACAACTTTATTTTGACACAATTTTACTTTATACATCCCATTTGTTTTCCGATGAAATGCATTTAATCCGATCTGAATGGAGGAAAATATTGTTCATCTTGTAAATATCTTGTACGTCTAAGCAGTTGTTTCTCTATAGTTTTGATTATTAATCCGTCCAAACCTCAATATGAGACCATTTCTGTGTATACTTCAATGAGGCCGTGAGAAAGCATCTGATTTTTCTGAGCTTTGTAAAAATTGTGATTGTAAATTTAAAAGGGTTAGCTGTTCTGGATTTGTTAATATCCGTCCATTATTTCACACATTTAATTTTTTTTTAACTTGAATGTCAATTCACCAATGTTCTAAAATTGTACATTATTGTTAACACAAAAGCTTTAACTGTAAATTAAAGGTAGCAAGTGACTTTTTTGGTTGTTCACTGTTTAAATAAATAATAAAAGTTTGTCTTAAAAAAAGAGAGAAAACAATTCACAGGCAGAATTTTCATCCGTCCATTCTATTTCGGTTACAGATGCGTTTATTTGAGAATAACTTGGTTTTCATATCTAGAAAAAGTATTCATCAGACCTTGTTTAAATAAAAAAAATTGATATTGTGATATCTGAAGGATATCTAGTTCATTGCAGTCTGTCATTTTTTTTTTTGATATTAACCCATTAGAAGTGTGAAGCGACATTAAAGGGAATATACAACATTTGCAAACATCGAAAAACAAAACTACCAAGTTTTTACAAAATACCTTACTAGGATGTTGGTAAATGACAGTCTCAAGCATCTTGTAAAATTATGGCACCTGGTGTGAAGTCATTTTCAAGAAAATGGTATTTTTGTATACATTTCCAACAGTGGTTGGCCGACCACCGTTGGAAAAACCTAACTTTTTTTCAACTACTGCTCCAAATTTACCATTTTTTCAGTCCAAATTTTGTTTGCTATTGGTTACATGTTCATGAACGGGTGCAGGCCAGCTAGACTGGTTCCCTTGCCTTACAATTTTCCATCATCTATAAATTGATCCATTTTATCTTTTGTGGAGTCTGGGAACCAGACTACTTGAACTTTTTTGTTTTTCTTGGTTTTTCCAACCTTTTCGAACACAAAACTTCAAAAATGTCAGTGTAACAATATTTGATCTATTATACTAACCCCTCCAATAGTTCATTTCTGAAAATTACAGCAAAAGCCAATGATGTACATTCCCTTTAAACATGATTTTATCAGCAAAGATGAAGTCTTGAAACAAGTGCTGTTCCTTTACAAAAAAAATTGTAACATGAAACAAACATGAAGGAAAATTATGTGCGTAGTTTTGGCTCCTATTTTGCACTGGTACTTCCACCCAGCCTAGGCCTTTCGCCTGCTTATCAAACGTATCTACGCAACATAATTAGATCACAAGCCAACTTGGACAATTATTGATTTTTTTAAGAAAAACAAATTCCAGGTGAATTACTTGAACTTGACCTCTAGGAACGATATCCATTTTACCAGTAATTAAGGCTAGAAAGACTAGAAAGCATGCACTGACCTGAAATCTTGGCTTCTGCAATAGAATCGCTTGTTGGCGCCTGTACTAGAACAACGGGGCGCTCTGGTCCAATGGTTACGGTGTTCGATCGTGGTACACGGGTTCGAATCCTGATCGTGGGAAGAAGGCTAGAACATGGTGCTTGTGCTCTTGAGCAAGACACTTTACCATTATTGCTTCGTCCTTCGGGTAAAGCCGTAGGTCCCGTGTGTTGTGTAATGCACGTTAAAGATCCCAGTAACACTTGTCGCTAAGAGAAGGGGTTTGCCCCGGTGTTTCTGGCAGTGGCAGTAATATGCGCCACAGCACCTAGCAAAAAGGTGCTACATAATGGGTCTCATAATGTTCATATATACTTCATTTACCTGTATTTGGTTGCATTCTCCCCCAGCGCTATATAAATACGGTTATTTTATTATTATTATTATTATTTATTGCAACAGTTCGGGTGCGTGGAAGAAGGTCGCTAGGGCGAAAAATGGGTCGCCGGCAAGGGGCAAATTTGGATTATTCGGGTAATCGATAGAGCATTGAAATATCTTTCATTTGATATACATTATTTTTGTCTCAAGGAGCTGCGTCATTCTGACGTAATTAACAGTATGCAACTTCAGACGGGAGGAGGTTTTTCATTATTTTTTCCAGCAAAAGGGTGTTAGCATGTAATATTAATGTAACAGAATATGTTTCAAGTGCGCTAACGACCCACTGAATTGGGTACGTAAAGCTAAGTTTATTATCAGCAAAATTAAGGACGTTATGATTTAACATGCCGCATAAGCGCTCGTTTAAGGCAGGGTTCCCGGTAAAAGGTCGTTAGCATAAAAATGTAAATAACGTCAAAATTAAGTAATGCTTTGAAATAAAAATGCACAATATTTCAATTATTAACGAATTTCATGTGTCAAAGTTTCAGCCGTTGCAATTTAGAAATGGGAGCACAAAACCTTTGAACTTGATTATTACCAAAAGTGTTTTTGCGTCCTTTTCCTTGGCGCGCGACTGTTGTCTCAAACGACGCGTTGGTCACCGTGTATGACAATAGACCGAATGGAAATTGGATTTGTTCGTTTTTAAAGTCCTTGTGTCCCTAAGCATCGAGTAATCAACACGTCTGTGTGGGGTGTGTCCTCCATGGTTTGGGCGAAGTGTTCGGTTCTTGGCTGTGTGTGCAGTGACTTCGTCATACCATGGGGCTATAAAGCTCCATAGTCTTACCATACACGTGCACGCACCACTGATCACATAGCGGTCAAGTTGCACTTACTTCTGGTTCCATTGGTTCAAATGCTACACCACTGTGAGCAGTACGCATGGTCAAGTTGGAATGACGTCACACTTACGAATCGGATATACTAGACAAACTGAAACAGGCGGGACCTTTGAAAGAGCACGGAGCAAATTTCGCCGTGATAGTCAAGTGAATGAGAAGCTACTGAACCCTAGTCTTGGCTTGGAGCATTCCAAACTTAGCTAGCTGACGGCCAGCTGTCCTTTCCGGCTGGTTGGCATGGCAAGACGCCTGTTACATCTTGCTGCCTGACAAGATGGATTGGTGGCAAGCCTTAGGTCAGTGTGACCGGCCCGGGAGCACGGGTAGCTCATCTCTCTTTCAGAACGTGTGTATCCAGCTCTCTTGCAAGGGGCAAGTCCATTTTTTACAGGGATGTATTTCTCTTTTAATAAGTGTGATTAACTCGCCGCAGCGACTTAATAACTATGTAGCGACTGCGACTGTCATTTCTTAATTTAGGCTTTATTCTATGTCTCCCCAATAAATTTTGAGAAATCTGCGTCTGAAAAAGTGTTTAAAAAAATGTGGGCCACCCTGTTTACGTTGGTATTCAAGCAACGTCACTTGCAATTACCCAGCCTGAAAAGTACCTACCCATTTCAGTTTCGGAAACCTTGCTTAAAGGCAAGGGCGGATCCAGAACACAATTTTGGGGGGCCAAAACAAATTTTGGTCCTCCAAAAAAGTGGGTCCAAAAAATTACGGCTTGGGGTTCGGGGCCCGCTTAAGGGCCCCGAAAATTTTTTGGATTCTAGATGCTCTGTGGTGCGATCTGAGGCAATTTCTGACCACTTTAACCAATGTTTTTTTGAGGAAAAGATGGTGGTGTACTCATTGCCTGCCTTTTTTGCGATGTCACATAAAAAAAAAATTGGTTTCGTTTTGGGGGGGCCATGGCCCCCTTTGGCCCCCCCCCCTGGATCCGCCCTTGCTTAAAGGGGCATGTAATGTAAAGTGTTTAATCAAGTCCTTGAAAATCACCTTTGTGTTCAATTTAGCCTTATTTTCAACTAACATTTTTGTGCCTTTCTTCAGGGCATTTTGGAGCCTTTTTGGTTTTTATGCTTAAATGCCAATTTCCATATTCATGAGCACAAGTGTGATGTCATTTCGGGTAGAAAGCTCACTGTTATACAGCTATTCCCAGCACCACAAGTTGCAAGAATTTCGGATATTTTGGTGTCGTAAATTTTCTTTCTTTTTTTGATTCGCTGTTTTTTTATTTCAGTATACATGACAGTAGGCCAATGAGCAAAGTGTTCTCACAAATGTTTTCAATGAACAAATTTGGGGTTCACAATTTGAACAGAAAACCCCTAAACTTGACAGTGTCTTCCTGAAATGACATCACGGCAACAGCGCCCTCATTTGTCAGGAAAAGCATGGACAATATTGAATGTTTAAAGAAGTACAATTTTCAATATATATATTAACCAAAAGGCAGGTCAAATAGTTTTCACAAATTTAAGAGGAGTAGAAAGTTGCACAAAATTGTTCCCAAGAAAAATGCATGCCAAGGCCTTTAAAAAAATGGACTATTACATCAAACTGTGAAATTTCAGGCAGTAGATACAAAATAAGGTGTATACATGCGGACGTGGACACACTTTTTACGTGCGTTAAGAAACGGAATCCAGGTATAGCGAGAACCAAAAAAATGTATATAAATTTTAAACAATTAATGTATTCTCTGTTGTCTCAAAAATGTAGAGTAGCCCCTGACCTAAACCGTCAACATCAGGTAACTGTACGCCCTACTCGAGATCATGGGCGTAGAGAGGGGGGAAAGGGGAGCAGTTGCCCCCCCCCCCGGGAAACGAAAAAAAAGGAAAAAGGGGGGGGGGGAGAAAAAAGGGGAAAAAAGGAAAAAGAGGTGCTAAGCCATATTGCTGTTAATTTGATGGGGGAGGGCAAATGCTCCCCTGCTCACGCTCGGAAAAATGAAAAATTTAGAAAATAATGAAAAAGTTAAGGAATTGTTGGAAAAAGTTTGCTTTGCCCCTCCCCCCCCCCCCCCCCCCCCCCCCCCCCCCCCGAAAAAAATCCTGGCGAAGCCCATGCTTGAGATCAAATTTTATGCCATCAACAAAAGGATCATTAAATTAAACCACCATTTTGTGCATTATTCTGAAGAGAAAAAAATCGCACGCAGTCACTCACTAGATAATTATTATTATGTGGTTTCGTTAGTGTTTAGGCTTGCTTATAACAATTGCATCCCAGTCAATGATCAGATGAATGGCATCATCTTTCCTCTCCGAACAGTCGCTGCCACCGAAACACTCCATGACCGATCTCTGCAAATCTTCAGGCGCTGTCTCCCTGAAGTTCACGTGAAAGGTGAGGAAATCCAGCAGCAGGCCGCCTTCCTCCGAAGCTTGGTCGAAGCACTTGGTAATGTCTAGGCGCACTGGGTAGGGGTGCTGCGTGAATGGTATGCCACGACGGTCTAAGGAGCTGCGTATGTCAGCCGAAGTGCTGTAGTTATGGTCGCTCGGTTGAAGACATGGAAAGCGTTTCCTATACCGACTCAATCCAGTGTTTTCTGAACAACAAAAAATGAAACGCTTTACAACTTCAATCAGCGAAGGGTTTGTTTTCGATATTACAATGTAGAACACTGATTTGCTTTCATTTTAGGCTCCACAGTGTCATTGGATATAAAGCGCGTCCCAAAATACCCGCAACATTTTGTTTTCGAGGCTCTAGCGTCGCCGCGGAAACACGTACCGCCATTATTCTTATATCATTTTAAAGCTTGGAATCTTAACTTTATCCCTGGTAAGTATTGGTTTTATTTTCAAAAGGGTTTTGAAATGATTCGTATTCAAATAAAGGCATGTCAAAAACAAACTCAACCGATTTCAAGGAAAATCAATCATACGCATTTTTTTCTGATGTGGAAATGCTTCACCATGTTCATGTGACGATCTCGTTGCGTTTTACTTTCTGACTGTGTTTCCTTTTCTTTTCAATCCATGTAGACTACACCTTAAACAAATTTACAATATTGTACTTCGTTTTAATTTCAAGGTGTTTTTAATTTAAATCAACTTTTTTTTTATTTTTAACAGCTTGTTGACTCGAGTTTGCATCTGATGTACTGCATCAGATGAAATCCGTTGAGTTTGTTTTCGACATGCCTTTAATTTATTTGAACGCGAATAATTTTAAAACTCTTTTTAAATATCAAACCAATACTTGCCAGGGATAAAGTTAAGATTCCAATCTTTAAAATGGTATAAAAATAATGGCGGTACGTGTTTCTGCGCCGACGCTAGAGCCTCGCAAAAAAAACCTTGCTGGTAGTATTCTCAGGCAACTGGACTAGCTGCCGTTCTATACAAGAAAGAGGTTTGCGAATACCGTGTACATATAGCTATATATCTTCCATGATTTCGTTCGGAATGTTTTATGACGTTTGGACACCATCATTTCCGACAGACACAATCGACTGTTATGTCCGAAACGTCGAGAAAGCACTCTCACAACCAGATTTGCAATGCCTCGGACTTTATTGAGTCATACTGTCCATTACTGCGTAGCAAGATTCCGTGACTTGACTGTACTCAGGTCGATGTACTAAAATTACTCGACTCGAGTAATTGCGAGTCAAGCCTCGACTTGACTCAAGCCAAAGGTTCATGAACTCTGTAGGCCAAGTTCGGGCAAGGACCATTAGTCGACTAGTGGTTGATTTGTGACGTACCTTACGCCTGCGCACTAATAGCAAAGTGCGAACGTCTCTAGTCGAACGCTGGTCAAAATGTCATTGCAAAACGTCTGGATCCTGGCTCCCTGCTGTACGTTATGAACGCGCGCGGCTATGGTTACCAGCGATGCAACCAGCCCCAATAGGTTGGTTCCAAATAGTCGACTAGCGTAGTTAACCATCGTCGACTAGACAGAGTTCGGGCAAGCGTTAGTCGACCAATGGTTAACTATAGTCCTTGCGCGAACTTGCCCTATAGCGCATGGAGAACATGCGGTCTCTATTACAAGTTACACTTCACGATAAGTTTGCTTGCCCCTTGCAAGGCTCATAAGTAGACTCATAAGTAATAAGTATAGGCTACCTGACATATGGATCACAAGTATTGCTCCGCCAGGGATCAGGCAGTTGTACAGATACTCCAGGGAGCTGTCATAGTCGTCCAGGTGGTACATGCAGTGAACTGCGCTGATGAAGTGGAACTTGGTCGCATCTCCCGCCTTCTCGTATTGCTCGAGCGTCTGCTGCCGAAAATCACACTCAACACCTTGTAGTTCGTGAGCCTTGGATTGAGCCAATGACTTGTACTTGCCAAGCAACTCCCGAGAAGGCTCAACTACACGATTGTTGATGCGTGGAAATCGCCTCTTCAGCTTCTCCAACATCGCACAATCCATTTCACCTATACGAAGCCATGATAAAAATTGGTGTTTATTGTAAATGCAATTGCCAAAAACATAGCCAATAATTATTAAGCAGCTATGCCAGCGCGCCAGTTATTCGAGCAATTTAATCACCATAATAATAAGAGGCTGACCGGTCAATAGCTGTCAAGGAACAGTACATACAGGGGGATCTCCACTCCACGTTTTGAAGTTATTGATATCTGTGAATGTCCATTATATTAAACTTGAAAATTTATCAAAATTCCTCACGGTGAATATAGAGTGTTGTGGGTTTTTTTAAGTGGGGAAAAGTGTGAAATCGGATGGAAAAACAGATGAAAGTTCAACAAGGTATAAAGCTCGATTGACTTTGACAGCGAAATGTTGATATCATTCACGTGAATTGCACACCGAATGGTCATTAATTATAACAAGTGTATTTTAATGCATATTTGCCCTCAACAAGGCTAACTCTCCAGGTACAGGGCTGACAAGAGAAATTAAAGGAAGAGTATAGGTACTCAGGAAAACTGAAGGTATGAGTTAACATTCCTCTTGAAACAAGACAGATCATAGGTTGGAGGGAAGCAAGCACCAGGCAAGGAATTCCAAAGAGATGCACCACGTGGGAAAATTGAAAATAGGCCCAAGTATATTTTGTTCTACATCTAGAAAATATCATCTTGTTCTACATCTAGGTATTGATAGCAGCAGTATATTTGGATGACAACAAACCCCCCAAAAATAATTTCTCTCTCAAGTACTCTGATTGGAGGAACCAGGTTGGATATAGCCTATATAGTGGAGCAATGACCATATGAACATGTCAATAAAACAAGGGTGACAACACTGGACATGTTTCATGTTTTCACTGATCTGTACTTATGTAGTCCTTGCGAACGGAGGGGGGGGGGGGAGATCATGGTGCCTTATTCCCCAGAATAGAAATGAACTGAATGGAAACCGACAGTTCTGAATTTCTGATCTCATGGCACTCACTGCAGATAGATGAATCACGCAATAAGTAATTTAGACCTGGACGATACATATACGACGGCAATAGTACGCATGCACAGTTTAGTTCTACACAGCGACAAAGGTATCACAATATGGAACTTAATAGGCCTACACGTACCTGACCCACTGCCCACTCCAAGGACCCGTAGCTCTTCTCGTCCGTCCATTGTGGCCTGGAGCTTACCAACCACCGCCTCGCTAAACACACCGTCCACCCAGTCAGAGTACACCCTGAATTTGGCAGACCGAGCGCAGAAGACTTTGAACGCCTTGGCATAGTGGCTCGGATCGCTGAGCAGACTCTGTAGTGATTTTGTGTCCATGTTCTCTTTTCTGCTTGATTACTCCAATATTTTGACAGCTGTAGACAACCTGCAGATAGGTGGACGGATTTTGACCCAACTGACTTAAACAGTCTCAATCATGAAAAGATTGAAATTTGAAGAAATTACGAAAATATTAACATTGATCCTCGCAGAAAAAAATCTGCATGGAATCAAGGAACCATATGAATCAAAATGCCATGTACGGGGATATTTTTCCGAGTATTGTAGCAAAACGACTGTACTATACTATACGTTAGAAAACTTCAAGAACCGCCTTTTAAATATTGAACTGGCTGGTCTACATTAAGGTACTAAAAAGCTAGTTTGCACCGACTCCTTGCATTGCGCTAACTGTACGGGATAGCCACACCAGGCGTTTGTACAGAAGCTAACAGATGCAGATGCAGATATGTCACGCCCCAACTATCGCATCGGTCCCAACTATAGTTGGGCATGTCCCAACTGTAGTTCCACAGTTGGGCTGGCCCAACTATAGTTGGGCCTGTCCCAACTATAGTTGGGACGGTCCCAACTGTAAGTTCCATTGTTGGGCTGGCCCAACTATAGTTGGGCCACTCCGATCTTTTTATTTTGCGGTGTCCCAACTATAGTTTACATTGATGTACAACCATAAAACGTTCCCTACAGCTCTGATACACGTCTGACTTTACTGGGGACCACTGAAATTAGCTATTGATGGGGCGAATCTTAGCCCAGGTTGGACGAAGTCTTCATTGCAATACTCCCTCCGTAACGTAGGGAGGAAAGGGAGTCCACCAGGGCTAGGGCGAATCTATAGTTGGGCCACCCCAATCTTTTTATTTTGCGGTCCCAACTATAGTGTACATTGTTGTACGATTATAAAACATTCCCTACAACTCTAATACACATCTGACTTTACTGGGGACCAATGAAATGATCTATGGGTGGGGACCATCTGTAGTTGGGCCACCGCAATATTTTTATTTGGCAGTCCCAACTATAGTTTACATTGATGTACGATTATAAAACATTCCCTACAGCTCTGCTTACATGTCCGACTTGGGACCTTTGACATTAGCTATGGGTGGTGGGGCCCATCTATAGTTGGCCGGCCATGGCAGTCTTTGAATTTTGCAAAATGTTGCTGGATAATAAAACCCAGCAGCTGGACAACTCATAGGCAGTACCATGTGACCGGCCAGCCTTGCGGCGCGGCATGCATGCACGACGAATACACGGTGCCAGCGCCGCGGAACATTTAATCCAACAAGATCTATCAAGCATGCATGCATCCGGCGCAACTCCAGTCCTAACTATAGTTGGGCCGACCCAACTGCCGCACTATAGTTGGGACAGTCCCAACTATAGTTGGGACCGATGCGATAGTTGGGGCGTGACAGATATACTTATATACTTAGTCCGAGTAACTTGGACCCAACTTATCGCCTTTTTAAAAATTTGGACATGGTCTGGCGATCGCCAGACCATGTCCAAATTTTTAAAAAGGCGATAAGTTGGGTCCAAGTTACTCGGACTATTATATACTGATCTAATAATAGGGGGCCTACTGTACTAATATACTGATCGACATATTTAAACAAAGACTCACCTGTCGTTCGTAGGTAGGCCTACTTTGTGGCGGCAGTGGCACAATACATATCACAATATAACGACGTACAGTCACAATCGGGTGAAAAGTTGAAGAGTTCAAGGTAGCCTGTACATTGACCAACACACTGGGTCGATCCGTCACGGACGCGGGTTAAATTAATATGAAACGTACACACGTACATCACGAAAACAGTGGATTTATTTTTTCCTTTAGAACAACTTTTACCGTAAAATGTGGACCATGTTTTCCAAGAAAGATGGACGAAATTCTCGAAAATAACATGTGTTTTCCCTCTACATCTTTCTTTGGTTATGCATTATATAGACAAAGAAAACGCCAGTACATGTGTACACTTGTACACAGCCGGTCAAGGATACACTGCATGTACCATAACGTCCAGATTAGACTTCGCTCAAGAGGTTAGGTGATTTGTGCTGTATGAGTAAGGTGTGATTCGATCGTTCCTAGAATTTTAACTGGAGTACTTAGTTTGTTTTATAGCCCAGTAGCGGTTGCAACCACCCAAACCCCAAGTTTAGCCGCTGGGGCCAAAGTAGTAAATGGAACGCTAAAGTTCCTAAATTTATTCTCATCTTGCCTAATTAGAATGCAGGAGATAGTATCGTAGATTTTCAAAATTGTCTGTGGTCATGCCCCGGACCCATGCTTTAATTCTGCACGCCTGCACTCCCCCCCCCCCCCCCCTTCACATAGACCCGGTACCCCCGTGACCTGAAACCTAGATCCGCCCCTGTTGATTATCCATTAAAGTTGACTGCGTTACCGGATTGTATTTTTCTCGCTGAGCACACTGTTTTGTTTTTGTTATATTAAATTCATTGCTTGACGATTCCTCTCGAAAAGAAATAGGATTGTGCTATACATGTATATCGCATTCAAAACGCGTCCAACCAATTTTTGCAAGATTTGGCCAACAAAAAATACAGTTTCCGTGTTAGCTATATGCGCAGCACCACCTTTAGTTTTAGGTTTATATTCTAAGAGCCTTCTTCAAAATGTATGCAATGAGACATGACCTACGGATTGATGTTTCGGGGGAATTTGAGCTATCCATCCATTTAAGTTAGCAGATTGACAATCTTAAAGATTGTCCATCTGCTGTAACTTTGCGAGATCGAGTCACTCGTTCATCGAACACATTATTTACTCCACCATGGTTGTTGTTTGTTGGGGTGTTGGGGTGTTTGTTTGTTTGTTTGTTTATTTGTTGTACTATTTGCCTCGCTATGATGTTCAAGATGACGTACCAGCCCATCGTTTCGCCTTCAAATCAAACGTATGTCAACGTTGCATATTATAGATCCCAAGCCAACTTAAAACAGTTATTTATTTTTGCGATGTTTTTTTCCCAGATGAATACTTGAACTTGACCTCTAGGAACGACATCCATTTTTCCAGTAATTAAGGCTAGAAAGACAAGAAAGCACTGACCAGAAAACTGTTGCTTCCGCAATTAAATTGCTTGCTGGCGTACCAATACAAGGTGGCAATTACTATTGTCTGAAAACGACACGTTGGTCACCCGTGTTTTAATTTCATTTTATGACAATAGACCGAAAAGACCGAATGGAAATTGGCTTTGTTCTTCTTTAAAATTGACCTTGTGTCTCTAAGCAACTAACGGTCAAAAAAAGACTGTAGAACCTAGAGCCATATACTAGATAAACTGGGGATAAAGACAGAAGAGACTTTGACAGAGCAGACAAATTTCGCCTGTGATTATGTTAACGGAGTTTTGAAGAGAAAGCCTTTATTATGGCGTCAGTACTGAGTAGGCATACTGTCAACGTTCTGATCTTGGTAATATTTGGAGCATTCCAAACTTTGCTAGCCGTTTGTCCTTCCGGCTGGTTTGCCTTGCAAAACGCCTGTTACATCTTTCTGCCTGACAAGATGGATTGGTGGCAAGCTAAGGAGGTTTGTGAACGGCCCGGGAGCAGCCTGATCGTTCCTGACTCGCAGGAAGAACATGACTTCATCTGGCGGGAAATAAAAGGTGGAGAATACGGAGCTACCGACGACATGGATGGTACGGAAGTGTGGGTTGGCTGCAGCTTCGTTTATGACATGTTTGGACGTTCGCTTTCGTGCGTCAATGTCACTAATCCCATCTACCAAAATTGGGCGCCTGGTGAACCAGCAGATCTACTTGAACAGTGCCTCGTGATGGCTGACAAGTTCAAGGGGAAGTGGGGTAGCAAATCGTGCAGTGCCTTGAAATACGTCGCTTGTGAGATGCATGTTTCTCGTGTCTCGTTCTGCATGCCAACCGATGCTGACGGCCAGTATCCGCCGCACTGTCTGCCCAACCATGAGATCAAGAACCTGACGACCGGACTTAGCGAATGTGCCAAGGAATGCGGGAAGGAGCATCGATGCCACTCCTTCAATCTCTGGCAGAAGGAGGAAGAAGACGTGGGAGTCTGTCAGCTCAACAGTGCAACTCGCTTGCAGGCCTCTACCGAAGAGTACACGTACGTAGAAGACTGCTACTTTTACGAAATGGGAAGCAACTAAAAATGCATCTCGTATAGGTGTGTAACTCGGCTAAGACTTGTCGTTTTAAATTTAGAATTGTTGGTGTCCATCTTTATCCGTTGAACAGTGAAATTGCAACACTAACATCAGTAGTACATATAGCTAACGCGTTCAGTGGACAATTTCATTTGGACATTTTTACTGGAAAACAGATTTTGAACAACTCGATTTAAATATTTATTCCCGGTAAATAATTTTGAAAAGTCGTTGATTTTGCTGACGAAACTTCTTTGTGAACATTTTACTTCTACCTGCACTCACGGACCTCATCTAAGTGTTTACTTCTTCATTCACATCGAATTGAGATGCCTGAATAGTTTTGAAGTGTGATCAACAATCAAGAGACTTTTAAAAACTCTTTATTTAAAAAAAAAGATTAGTATATACGTGTATTTAATGTTTACAGGACTGTACAAAAAAATATATGAAGAAATCGTTAATTAAGCGATTATGTACCTTTCGGGCATTTGCAGGCACGGTTCGTTACTGACTATTGGGAGGGACACTAAATATATATTCAGGAACCGTTGCAGTTTCGGGAAAGGTTGGAAAAAATATCATTCGGGAGTGGGTGGGGTGAGCTGGGGAGAAATAAAATTGGGAATTTCATTTGCTAAAATTAGAACAAAATAGGCACCGTTTTGTTAGACAAGGTGGAATTTCTTCTTTTTTGCAGCCTACCAATGCCACCGCACCAGCTATTATGAGATGTGGACTTGTTTTGTGAATTTGTTTTACATGCACGTTCAGCACCAAATAAACATAAATTGCACAAAACTTCTCATGAGAAACAAAAGTGAACAGTATAGTGGATCCCAATTTTACTCTGATTATCATAGAAGACTAGATAAGCCTGATCCAGCTTGGACCACTGAAACTAAAACTGTGCAGCGCCACCATGCGTTTGAGAAAAGGTGAATGTAGGACCGCATGCATTCCCATTTTTAGACTTAATATTGAAATGCCTTTTTTTTCACGTCAAAAGAATTTGATAATTCTGTGATATCCGTGAAATTTACTAAACTAAACTCATTGTGATTTCTTGCTTAAAGTGAAAATACAACATTTGCAAACATCAAAAACGAAATGATGAAATTATCAGGAAATACCTTACTGGATTGTTGGGACTGACAGTCTAAAGCATCCAGTCAAATCGTGGCTCCTGGTGTGCTGACATTTTCAAGAAAAAAAAATGTATTTTTCCAACGCCGGTCGGCCGACCAGCGTTGGAGAAAAATGGCTTTTTTTCAAAAACTGCTCCTAAATTTGCGTTTTTAGTTATTCCGCATTTTCTGTGCAATTAATTACACACCTGTGATGGGGTACAAGCCTGTTAGACTGATTCTCTGACCTTACAATTCCCTTAAGTCTATAAATTGCTCCGTTTTATCTTAAGTGGGGTCAGGGAGCCAGACTACAAGAACATGATAGATTTTCTTAGTTTTTCCAGCATCTACAAGCCCAAAACGTGAAACGAGTCAGTGTAACAATATGTGCTATAACAATATCTGCTATAACACGCTAATCCTCCAAATCCATTTATTTCTGAAAATTGCAGCAAAAGCAAATGTTGTACATTCCCTTTAACATAAATTGGGCGGATCTCTCCCCAACCACCCCCGCGACATTTTTATTCCTTTTATCAATCTGACTATATTTTCCACGAACGAAAAAGTAACGAAAAGAAAAACAATACACTCCCGATCCCTTGCATGCACCGAACGTATACGCTACCATTAACCTGCACAGAAAGATTTCGATTATTCACCACACCGAGCTTTAATTCCATGTGTTGGAGATATTTTAATCTTTATAATATTTACATTACGAAACTTATACAATAAAATGCAAAATATGTAATATTTACAACTATTAACACATGAATTGCTATCGTAGCAATAACAATAGAAAGCTTGCTAATTAAGGTACCATTCTCTACACAGTCATTATCCGTTCACTAAACTAAAATTCTCCAATACAATACCGTGTGTGTCAATATCGTACAATATAATCAACAATACGATGTACTTTGTCCGCAACGGACTTGGATCCCAAAATCCAGGGAGATGAATCTTGGACATATATACACAATTCCATCAATTTTAAAGCCAAACTGTCTCCGTTTTCAAAAGAAATTGTGGGATCACATTTTATGCTAATGAGCTCGCGTAGAAAGTCTCACTTTGCACAATTAAACGCGAATTAATTGCGGCCTCTGTCGTTCGATTCGCGCCAGTCGGATATTGTTGTTATAATCGCTGTAATAGTAATAATGACATTATCGGCACTCTTTGTGGGTTGGCCAAACGAGTTTTACTCTTGAATATTTACACTGCGTACACCACTTACAAACTCAACCAAAGCAATACGTTTGAAACCTTCTAGCATTCATGTTTTAAATTGGGCGGAATTTTTGGCTTATTTGGGAACAAAACTGCCCCCCCCCCCCCCCCGCCCTAAATTGTGTTCTGCCGGCATTGTCCGGCCGCTGAAAAAGAAATGCTAAACCCCTCTTGATCCGAATCTGGATCCGTAACTGGGGGTTTGATTATGCATATAGTCATTATATAGTGCAATGAGTCAAGTCTACCTGTGAACGACACAATGAAGGGCATCTGTGATTCCATTACTATATCAATATAGCTTATTCTACGGACTTAAATTTCAACCATTCTGAATCAATAATGAAAAGAATTGCTCGCCTAGTCTTTTAGGCTTGAGTAGAAATTATCTCAGGATGTTTCATGTTTCACTTTAAGTTTAATTTTAATTTTATATCTTCGGACAATAATTAAAAATCTATTAAAAAAAGAAAGATTGTTTTGGTCTAGACAAAAGTTTGTAAAAACTGTCATCAGAGAGTGTCAAACCAAAAAAAACCCAGATTATTATACAGTATAAATAATTACTATTAAATCAAACAAAATTTATTACGAAAATCCCACACCCAGAAAAAAAACTATAAACAAACAAACAAATTATAACAAACAAACATATTCTAATGTTCGGAAATAACTTTAAGAAATCATTAATTAATTACCATCGCTAACAACTAATCTACGATAAAACTACTCACTTCTTATGGTTTATGTCTTGTCTCTTGAGGGCGCCGATACAGACTAGTAAATACATCGCAGTGGAGTAAGGAAAAGGAGCGAAGACATAAATATTTTTCATGGCGGTGGTCACCGATTTCTGCAATTTTTCCTGACGGGGAGGCTTTAGGGCGAGGGCCGTGGTATATTGATACAACAAGGGCGCGCTGTTCATGAACATCCATGCACAAACGTTGACGTAATGAGTTCACTTTGTCGAAACTTTCCCCAAGTTTGCGGTAACCATTCCGGCAGTTTTCAGAAAGAACTCATATTTATTTTGTGGCCAGATTATTTTTTTGATACAATTAATTGTATTCTTATTGCTTAATTATAACTACTGCATCCCAGTCGATGTTCAGCAGTATGGTGTTATTTTCCCTCTTGGAGCAGTCGCTGCTGGCAAGATACTCCATCATGGATCTCTGTACGTCTTCGGGCGCCGTCTCCTTGAAGTTAACAGAATGGGTCAGGAAATCAACCAACAAGCTGTCTTCATCGGCAGTTTCGTCGAAGCACTTGGTAACATCTAAACCGTTGGGTTGGTGGTACTGCAAGTACGGGATGCCACGGCGGTCCAAGGAATTGCGTATATCGGCTGAAGTTATTTCACAACCGCCCCGACGAAGCTCAGGAAAGCGGTCCAGAAATCGGTTCCATCCGTTGTTTTCTGAACAAAAAAGACACCAAAAATCTGTCACCTTATACCCAGCTTTGAAGGGGCTATGCAATGTAATTTTGTTTTATGCAATCCTTGAAAATATACATCTTTGTGTCCTTTTTAACTTTATTTCCAACGTTCGTTTTGCCATTTTCAAGGGTATAGGCCTATTGGTGCGTTTGTGGTTTTTATGCAAATGAAAATTTACATATTCATGTGCAAAACTGTGATGCCAACCAGGCGGAAACCTCAATGCTAGGCCCTACAGCCATTTCGACAACAAAAGTTGCCAGAATTTTATTTATTTTTATGTTTTTTGGCTGTCATAAGTTTTTTTTTCTTCTTGTGATTCGTTGTTGTATCAATACATGACAGCCAGTGAGCAAACTTTTTTTACAAACGTTTCCAATTTCGGGTTCATAAGTTGAACAGAAAACCCATAAACTGAACAGTGTCTTCCTGAAAATGACTCACAGCAACAGTGCCCTCTGTTGTCCGGAAAAGCATGGACAATTTGTAAATGTTTAAAGAAGTGTAGTTTTGAATACAATTTACCAAAAAGGGACTTCAAACAGTTTTCATACATTTAAGAGAAGTAGAAAGTTGCACAAAATATGTTCCTTAGAAAAATCATGCTATGCCCCTTTAATGTTAAAGCCTGTAATACGCAGTTCTTCACGACTGATTTTGGAAGCTAGAGTGCTGAACACATTGGCCTACTAGCATTTTTGAGGGGGCTGTGCCCGGTCAACAATTCCACGTATGATATATACGTGCATGTATGAATTATGGCGATTACCTATACTGATGATGCTTTGAGTTTCCTTCTTAATATTGTGTAAAGGGCACAAACCATGACTAGCACCCATGGATAGAAAGAAATACGTATTATAGGGAGAGCTGTGCTACGCCAAACCAATGGGATTTAGCATTTTGCATAAAATACTGACCTGACTTGAGGATCACAAGTATTGCTCCGCCAGGGATCAGGCAGTTGTACAAATACTCCAGGGAGCTGTCATAGTCGTCCAGGTAGTACATGCAGTGAACTGCGCTGATGAAGTGGAACTTAGTCGCATCTCCCGCCTTCTGGTATTGCTCGAGCGTCTGCTGCCGAAAATCACACTCGACACCTTGTAGTTCGTGAGTCTTATATTGAGCCAACGCCTTGTACTGGACTAGCATCTTATCAGAAGGCTCAACTACACGATTATTGACGAGTGAGAATCGCTTTTTGAGTTGCTCCAACATCACACAATCCTGTTCACCTGTACAGGCCATAATTATAATAGTTATAGGTAATTGTTATAATACCAATAAGTCAGTCTTCCAACTGTCTTGAGATGTTCCAAACGGATGTTGGGCTGCAATATCATCCGATAGCCGGCCTTTGGATCTTGGTCAAATTAAGACTGGATTTGGATTTTGCTTCTAAGGCAACTGGCCGCAATCCTAGTGAAGGCGGATCCATTTGAGGGATGCCCTGCCAAAAAGTGTCCAGTTGGTTTTTAGTAAAAGCAAAAGAGGATCGAAGACGACTGTTTTCATCGATGCCATGGTGATAGTATAATCAAGCTGTGGCCGGAGCTTCGATCTACATGTCACTTGGTGGTCGGTCGGTCAGTCGATCGGATGGTCCGTCTGTATGCACCACTTGTGGGGTACCCGTCCTTTGTTCGAGGTACCCCTCACTAATAAAATCTTTAGAAAAAAGGGTACCCCGCAACGAAAACTTTAGAAATAGGGACAATGGGACATAACAACAATGGAGGTACCCCGGAAGTCCATCTGGCTGGAACGTCTGTATGTCTGTCTGTCCGTGCTTACCAGTGACCACTTGTGGGGTACCTGTCCATTGTTGGAGGTACCCCGCAAGTGAAATCTTTAGAAAATAGGGTACCCCGCAAGTGAAATCATTAGAAATAGGGACAAAGGGACAACAATGGAGGTACCCCAGAAGTGTCCGCCCGCTGGAACGGACGTATGTCTGTCTGTCCCGAAACTTTACCAAAAGTATGGTGTTCCATAGTGTGCCATCGGCGTCGCATTTTTAAGCTCTGGCAGGAATCAATTTGATCGATTCCATGCAAGCCTTTTACACAAGCCTTCTTGCAACACGGTCACTGACGGTACTTGTTTTGGGTTTGTTGACAATTAGCATTGCGACAATACATACAACAGCATTATAAAATTTAACGTACCTGATCCACTGCCCACTCCAAGGACCCGTAGCTCTTCTTGTCCGTCCAGTGTGGCCTGGAGTTTACCAACCACCGCCTCGCTAAACACACCGTCCACCCAGTCAGAGAACACCCTCAATTTGTCAGACCGAGCGCAGAAGACTTTGAACGCCTTGGCATAGTGGCTCGGATCGCTGAGCAGACTCTGTAGTGATTTTGTGTCCATGTTCTCTTTTCTGCTTGATTACTCCAATATTTTGACAGCTGTAGACAACCTGCAGATAGGTGGACGGATTTTGACCCAACTGACTTAAACAGTCTCAATCATGAAAGGATTGAAATTCGAAGAAATTACGAAAATATTAATATAGAGCCGTCTCGCCCCACAACATGGCCGACCAACAAAACAATGACGTCACCCTCGCGCCCTCTATAGATCCTCCGAGAGCCTAAAATCTGTATTGAATCAAGTAGCCATATGAATCAAAATGCCATAGTGGGACATGTTTCCGCCGAGTATTGTAGCAAAACGACTGTAGTCTGTACTACTGGAGAGACTCGGCCGGGTAAAGTCGAATTTGTTTAGGCAAGCAATTAAGCTAGACTGCAAAAATACAAATTACAAATGATGGACTGTAGCTTTAAATGAGCGCAGTTAATTTTAGGGAAATTTGGGGGTGATCGACGATGAAGACGACAAAACACGACACGAAAATAGAGCTGGTACACTGCGAGGCACCGTGAATGCATGACAAATTATATTCTGATACGACTAATTACATTTCTTGCATTAATAATTGAATTTCTTGCATTACTAATTAATTTTCCCTTAATTCTTATTAATTTTCTCGCATTACTAATTAAGTTTATTGCATTAATAATCATTTCAGAAATTAGTCAAATAAGACACTTTTTCAGGACTAATTATAATTAGTCAAAATTTACCATACATGACAAACTATCAATTAGTCAAATATGACACTGCGCATACCTATTTTTTTTTTTTTTGTTGGTCATTTGACTTAATAACATTTTCAGTGAACTGGTCAGGGCTGGATAAGAGACAATTTCAAAGAACACAACCATATCTAACAAAGAGACAAAACAGGATTTCATTAGCTTTTAAACTTGTGTAAGGCACCTCGTTGTTTGATACGGTGGCATAAACGCAAAATATGAACTCACCAGGGGCCGCACAGTTCTCTAGGTCACCAGACGCTGCATTTGAAATATGAATACTGTAGCATTCCAGTAACGCACCACTTGACAAGAGAGAAAACGCTGACTGTTTACCCCTCCCCCCCCCCCCCCCCCAAAAAAAAAAAACACTCACACAATTATATAGAGCTGCTACGTGCAAGCTTGTGCTAAAAAACGTAAAACTTTATTTCATACCAGAAACAGGCCACGCAAGCCATTATTATTGGTCAGTAATGGTTTCATGAATATTCAAGGCACGACTTAAAGGGAATATACAACGTTTTGCTTTTGCAAAAATTGGGGGGCAGTATTAACAAAACAGTAAGTTTTTTCCAACGATGGTCGGCCTGGAAATTTATACAAAAAAATTCACTTTTTTGGAAATCACAATACACCAGATGCCATGATTTCACAGGATGCTTGAGACAATGTACTGACAGTCCGACGGTATTGCATGATAATTTCATGAAAATTTGGTAGTTTCGTTTCTTGATGTTCGCAAGTATTGTATATTGCCTTTAAGCGGTATTCGTTCGGGGATCTGCTACCTTATGCCTGAGTCACGTGGCATATTTCGTCATGCGCAGTTCTCAAAGGAGTCAGTCACGTGGAGGGGAACGTGAGAGTTACTTTGGTTGCTGCATAATAAAAGTTACAATTTTCCCACTTGTAATCAGACTGCCAATTCGAACGCGTACGTGAACGATACTCAACAGCACTGCCTGCTTATCAGTCATCTTTAATTCCTCATCCGGCATTGGTAAGTCCCGTATTATTTACAGGGTGGGTACAACAAAAGGAAACCCAAATGGTGCCCCTGTGTAAAAAAAATTAAAAAAAAAAATTCTGCAAGCACTGTAGCGCTTTCCAGATCTTGGATATGAAAACCCAATTAATAAGCTTCTTTTAGTGAAAGAATATTTGTCCAGTTTTGATCACAAATATGGGGTTTTAACCTTGTCAACGGATCACATTTAAGGTATCGGTAAGTGATATTTCAGTAAAAGGGAAACTATGTCGTATTCTGATGGCAGGCATTTATATTACGCTTGTTGTTTGCACTTGTTGTTTACCTTTCACCCAGTAAACCAAGAAAACTGACCCCCAATCAATCAAGTTACAAAAGGGAATGGTATTCGCGGCTGAATGCTTGCAGGACTTCCCTGAGGCATTTGTTTTTAGCGCAAGGTCACCTCTTTGTTCGGTCGGATAAAGACACCGATGCTCCTATGAATTTGACGTTGAAGATACCCTAAAGTGGTCTCGTGAATATGATGATTTTTTTTCCATTTGTACCTCTTTGTTCATTTTGCTTTTTTATCAAACTTCGTATTGCATTTCTAAAGTCTCTTTCGGTGCTCAGGCCTAAATGGATTTGTGGCGAGATAAATTTTCACATACATGCATAGTGACGTCATTTTAGGGAGAGCTGATCTAGTCTTACAATCTAAAAACACGTATTAAAATTTGGTTGATTAAAAAAGTCGGTTAGAATTTTAACCAATGTGTTCTTTTGGTCAATTTGACCATATACACTTTACCCAACGTTGGGTAAAATTGGTTCACTTTTGGAACCAACTTTTTAACCAACTGTTAATTGTGTTGTTCACCTGGTAACCAACGGTTGGTTAAAATGAGTCATTTTACCCAACGTTGATTAAATTTAACCAAATTTAGCCGCTTTGGAAACATTTCAGGTTATTTGTTTTGAACTTTGTTATTACATGTTATTTGTTGGTTTGTTAAAATTGGGCAAGTAGCCAATGGGTAAATTGAGTCAATATTTTGTACGATAAAAAAATCTTGTACCAAATTACACCATATTGAAGTTTATCCTGTGATTGTTTCAACCTTTTTCTTCTCAGAAAGAAATCAGCAAAAAAAAAAGGATGAAGGGATTCACCTGTTTGGTTCTGTTGATGTGCCTGAGCTGCGTCTTTGCCATGGCACTTCGTCAAGGTATGTGCGAGTGCTGTACGTGTTGGTCGTTCCTTGCCGCATTCCTTACTGCATGGCAAGTAGGGTTTTCAAGGACAAAATTAGTTACCATTTTATCTGAGAAAAGTTTACCCATTCCTATTGGTCGAGAGCCCGTCACGTGGCCGGTCTTAAACGGTCGATAAAGATCGACTGGCTGATCTTGAACCCTTTTCCAGTGTCACATGAAATTTGGATGAAGTATTAATATTGTTTTGGTCGAAAGTTCACGATCCTCACGTGGGAATGTGCAATACCAGTGATCGGAGTCAGTATTCATATGGTCTTAACTTGGTTGATTTGATTCCCAGAGAGAGATACTAAGGACCAGTTGTTGGAACTGCTCCTGGAGCGATACTTGGAGGGCAGATCGCGACAGGATCGGGACGGATACGGAAAAGACCGATCCCTAGAGGAGGACCGTAAGTTGTACAAAACGCATATAGCTGTTGTTGTTTTTTTACTTGACAGTCGCCTATATGTGAAGAATGTTTTCATATAAACCATGGGATCTCATGACAAAACGTTCCTGAGCCTCTGATAAATTGGTAAATACAGGGCGAGTCAGAATATTCTGGACCCAAGTCAGGTATATTTTTGTTGTGGCATATAAAGTATATTGAGAAAAAAACTTAGTGTTTCATATATGAATGGTTATTACCAAAATTTGGAATTTTTCAAATTGGTGGCAGTGGTGGTGAGGAGTTTTGCCATTTTCATTGAAGTCGCTCATTTTCCAGCCTGCACACAGAATTGGTTTTGCATTTTTAAATGTGCCAATAACTACTTTGTTGTTGTAGTGAGACGTTTTTTACGAGGCACCGTACAATTGGCACACAGCCCAGAAAAAAAATGTGTACAAACGCGCACTCAGTGCGTGTACGCGCGAGTTTTCTGCTTCCACACCAAACTGTGCAATATGGAGGCCTAGCTCACTACACAGTTGTACACTTGCCAGGCCTTCGGGGAACTTCGGGGAACCTGATTGAAATATTAGAACCAAGAATATTAGGAACCTGATTAAAACATTAGAACCAAGAATATTAGGAACCTGATTAAAATATTAGAACCAAGAACATTAGACACCTGGAAATCTTAGGAAGCGGGGCAACTTTAGAAATACAAACATTGTGATTATAATTTATCATTGACAATGTTATTACAATTTATAGAGCTGAAAGTTGAATCCAAGTTATATGATTTTTGTAACACTTGTTTTGTGAGTTAGATTGAGATTCAGATCCAGAACTATTGTAATTGATTTTGTAAACGAGTAATCTGTAACAAGTTCATGAGACCAAACATAATTTGACCCCTCCTAGTGTTTTGTCTTGGTTGTCCTTGGCGTCCTTAAATCCAATCATTTGAGCGGACCTCCTTAATGGCGTACCGCTACAAAAGTGGCGTCGTAGATAGGATTCGTCACAACTTATTTACCTACTAAGCTTAAAGTATTTTTTTCTTCCATGTCTACTCCTCCTGCTACAAAAGTGGCGTCGTAGACAGGATGCCTTGGACAATGTAGGATAAACAGTTTCCTTAATTGTAAATTATTAAGTTCTCCGAACGCCTTTTCCTCGCTGTGGCCGTCCATTTATCATGGAGCGTCGTACGAGATGGGATTTGCTGTTGCTGTTACCATGCAAGATGTTTCTCCTCATTCGCCAGGCTGTGATGCGCCGTTTCACTTGTTGAGGGACATGATCATCTCTTCCATTTTGTATTATTGACTGGGCTGCATTTTTTTATAGTATTGTCAGCAGGTGTAGTTTTGGTCACTTGTAGTTTTAACCTACATACACTTGTGCAATTTTATCTTCCATGTGAAGTGTATTTTGACTTTGGTATCCATTCTTTTGTAGATCTGCATTTGTACAGATTAAGCCTTTTGGCCTACGTGTAGCTGAAGTCAAATTTGTGTGCACAGTTGGTTTGTATGTAGAGTATGGCCTGATTGTATTTTTGCTGACTTAATTTGCAGACCCTTGTATATTTTGACATATTGACGTGAAGTTTGACGTGCATGATGTGCATTTCATATTTTGTCTGTGCATTTTGTCTATTTTTGACATGATTCAGTCTGTATTTAGGCTGTAATTTTGGGTTGGATTTTGTGTGTACAAGTTATGTCATTGTATCCCTTGTAGGATGGAAAATAGGCTGTATTGTGACCCTGTTATATCTGTGTAGGTACAGATTTTTTGTCAAATTTGTGAAGCCTTGTAATTTCATGTACACTGTAGGCCGTAGGTGGTCATTTATATCACAACCATGGTTTTGCCAGACAGTACTTGTTAAGTCACATCAGTTTTTAGCACAAAATATTGTCAATGTGTTTTCAAATTTATTAGAGGATGGTCACGATGAGGTCCACTTACTCAATGAACAGCCTTGTGAATCTGTTGATTCCATTTCTAAGCTAAGTGTAGCTAAGTCAATAGAGACAGCACTCAATGAGCATGCTGCTATTTTACTCACGTTTGTTGAAGACCAACAGGTCAAAAACCTGGAAAGTTTGTCTTCTGATCTAATGGTGTCCCAGGTGGTGATATTCCCAGTGAAATTAGTGAGACAAATGTTGATTCTGAGCCAGTAGTTATTGTCCCTGCATGTACCGATGTAGCAGCTGTTCTAGAGGTAGAGGTGTCAGAACAGATTTTGATAAAACCTGTTGATGGTATTGTGGAAGTCTCTGATCACCACGAGGTTGTTGATGTAAGGCCTGTTTTAGAGCCCAGTGTTGTGTTTGCACCCGTTTGTGATGACTTGGAAAATAAGTCGATATTAAGTTGCAAGCCGCAGGAGTGTGTTGTATCTCCTGGTTATTCTTCATCACATGTTTTACTGCCTCCTTTTGAGAAAAGGCTCAATTTAGTTTTGGAATGTCACCCATCACTGCAAGTGCCAAACGCCAAGGCAGGAGAAAAAGTAGGGAACCACTGGGCTACCCTCACTTTTCATCTTTGTGCATTTGAGATATGGCCAACAGTGTTGCCAGATGCAGAGACTGGCAAAGCACCACATGATGAAAAGGAAACATGTGGGTCTCTGGCAAAATGCCATTACTTAAATTGTGTCCAATGACATAACAGATAAGCAGTTTGAAATTTAATGCAGTGAAAGGTTCCATTTGAACCTTTACTTGGTCAATGCTCTCGTCGTTATTCGTCCCGTAAACGGTCAATCGTCGGCATATATCCTCACGCGCTATATACACATGCATGTAAAAATACAGCGCGAACAGCGACCTCACGCGGCCACTATTTTTATATGCAAATCAGTTGGGGACGATCTCGAGCCTTGGTTCAGTCGTCCATGTGTGGTTTTGGGGGTGGTGCTCATTATGTTAATAGCCTTAGCTGACCTTAAATGTCGTTTTCTTATTGGTCGATCGTTGCGTGGAAACTTGCATAGTGAAACGTGTCACCGTACATGATCCATACACGTACACGTTGTGTGTCTCTGCACACGGCACCAATGCACAAAAACTGTGGTTCCTGTCACGTCCGCAAAAGGCGAATAGCTGCAAACAATTTGATGACGTCCGGATTTACCAAGGTGTGATTGGACACTCCACATATTAGCCCCGCCTACACTTATCTGTATTCGCATACGAGGTCGTGCGCTAGAAATCCAGCGCAAAATAAAGAAAAACATAAGCTTTTGCCGACGATTGAACCAAGGCTCGAGATCGTCCCCAACTGATTTGCATAAAAAATTAGTGGCCGCATGAGGTCGCTGTTCGCGCTGTATTTTTACATGCATGTGCATAGCGCGTGAGGATATATGCCGACGATTGACCGCGTACGGGACGAATAACGACGAGAGCATTGACCAAGGCTAATTGGAACCATGTGTTTCATCACGATCATATACGATCCGAGTATATTTGATGCACAAAATCGTCGCTGAATTTCAAGTGTTCTAATTGAAAGCAATGAATAGTATTTATCAACTCATTTAAAAAAATTAATAAGCAATTAACAGTTAATTAAACCTATATTATACTCGGAAATACTAGGGGGTCTACATCCGAGTGTCGACGAAACGACTTTGGCAAACTTCGGAAACTTTCGGAAAAAGGAGGAATACCTCCCGTTTTAGTCACGTGACGTAAATTGTAATACGATGTATTACCGGAGGCGACCGGACCTAAGATTCATCAGGAAAAGTCAGAATCTTTTGGTCTGGGAACCAGACTACATCCAACCCAACGGGCGCCACGCGCTCAACCGACGCTTTCTACTTTGTGGACTCGAGACACGGATACAATTATTAAAACGAAAATATTGGCGTTTTAGATGACAATACTCTCGATGTTTGTGTAAGGAGAATGGGGTATCGTTTGCCAAGGTGATGGGTATGTGCACATTGTGCCGGGTGCGGTTCTATATCGAAAAAAAGAAAGGAAAACCTCATTTAAATCATCTGATATTTGTGGAAGATTGTCTCAAACAAAATATGTGAGCTTCCTACGAATATCAGGAAAAATAGGAAACCTGTTTCGAAATTTGGAATTACGAAAACAATTGCGATTCGTCACAACAGGTTCGGAACTCTCTCTTAAGTAGGAGAAAATATAAATTACGCTTTAAAAGGGGAATATTTAAGGTGTTGAGTTTGGTTAGCCTATATAGAACCGCACCTGGCCTGCATTCTGTTTAGTTAGCTTGCATCGTTTATGCATTCTTAACACGGGTAATTGTATTACATTGATATAATTATTTCTGATATAGCTTGCTCTCTTAACATGTTATTTTTTTAGCTACAATCATAACCGTAAACTTTTAAGTCTTGACCCCACTTATATTCATTACCCTATCCCTAAAAACCCTTACCCAGACCCTAACCCTCACCAAGTGCTTCCTCAAACCAAATGAAAATGTCTTTATCCTGAGAGGCACATTTAATCCCTTATTCCACCCCATTTCCTTTTTTTTTCATTCTGAAACTGACATGATATTCAATAAAACAACTCATTTAATTTTGGAGAATATTCATAGGCTGGAGTTTGCGTCGGGGTGATGTAAATTTAATAGGTTTGGCCCTTCACCGGCGAATAAACACTGTATACTTAGTGTGTTACCTCCTGACGGTGAAAGTTGGTGAAAAAATCACTCGGGTGGGACTCGAACCTCAAGCAAGAGGTCGTGGGTTCGAGTCCCAACCCCGAGTGAGTTTGTCCAATATATTCACTCGGGAGGCAACACACTGAGTATAAAGTGTTTATACGTCGGTGAAGGGAAAACTTAATATTAATTGTGGAGAATGTTGTAGAATTTGCTCAGAATATAAAAATTACCTTAGAGTTTCTTTAGAATGAGGGGATTTCCTCAATTTTCCTATTTTGTCCATCTCCTTAGAACTTCCTTCCAAAGTAAAATTGTCCTTAAAGTGAGGAAATTTCCATGAAAGTGGAAGCACTGCCCTTACCCTAACCCTAACCCTTGCCCTAATCCTATAAACCCAAACCCTATCAGTCGTAGCCCCACCCGAACCCAAACCCTATCATCCCAAAGTTGTCCGAGTTTACCTCTTTGCGCCCAAGTAACTTTTTACTGTCAGTATCAGCTCTTATCGTATGGTATTGGGTAAAAGTGCATTTGGTAATTGTAGTTGAATTGGAATTAAAAAATAGGGTATGCAAACCGTCTTTGTACAATCTTGCACAGTCTCGTATTGAAATGCCTGATAAAGTTAACGTTTACCGTCAACATTTCGGAATTTTAATGGCAGATACACTTATAGTGGGTGCTGCCTGCACAATGTATTAGAGATGGCTATTACATTATTTCGAGCAGATTCGCTTATTATTTATGCAAGACAACCGCATCTTGACCTCAAGATTTTGACCAATCAGCGTGCGCTTTCTACATAGGCTAGGATCTTCGGTCACACCGTTGTCGCATGACATGGATAAAACAAAAATATCCTAGACACAGCAACAAAGGCTGTGGTCGCGCGCTCTGTGGTATAATGTAACACGACAAGCGCCCGGCTGTTGTTGTATAACAAAACACTGCATTCGAACTGACCAATCACAGTTTTAGTCCTGATTTTTGAATGAAATGACGTCACGATTTAGTAAAGTCGACTCCGATTGGCTAAGGCGCGAGATCGCATTAACCTGCATGCTGTGACATAATCAGACGTTATACTCGAGACTTGGCTCCGTGGATAACGGGTGATATATACTCGGACTACATACAGCGCGCCCTCTTGTAGCGTTTTTTCCTTTCCTTTCAGTTAAGTGAATTCGTGGCCGGCTGTTCATCCAAGTGATCACGTGAGTCTGCGACTACCTATCGACCAACCTAAATTCTTTTTTTCCTCAGAAATGCAAATGCATAGGAATTGCTCACTAGGAACAAACTTTTTTGATAGTTGTATTGTATTATGGGTGTGGATGATAAACAAGCAATGTAGTTTAAGCACAGACCCATGGGCAGTGAACATTCAAACTTAAATTGATTTTCTTCCATAGTTTTTCAAGAAAAGTAATGATCATTGATTCTTATATTAATGCATAGAATACAAGAAATATAATCTCTAAACAAAAGTTTTTTGAATGGAAAAAAAGAAATCAACTTGACATTTCTCTCCAGGTACCAGTCACCAGGCCAAGAGGAACGATTGTGATTGGCCAGTACGTGTTGCAAGTGTTGGCTTGAAATTTTGATTATTGGTTCTGAATAATGAAATAGGGATTCCCCAAAACATTCTTCATTCTCATAAGCATAAAAAGAGAAGTGATTTTTAACATAATTATATTTCAATTTACCGATGCAACAATGTGTGAAAAGGTGCTCACCAATTTCCTTCCACATCTCCTTCTAAGGGACCCCGCTGGGAATAGTCGAAAGACATTCGTGGGCTATTCCGGTCAATTGCCGAATAGTAATCACAATTGAACACACACACACACACAAACAAACAAACAAACAAACAAACACCCCAACACCCCAAGACCCCAAGACCCCAACAAACAAACAAAAATACACATCTTTAACATCTGTGTTTTCCCCATAGAGCTATATTGTACTAAAGTACTAAAGCGCTGACTCGATGTACAAAGTGATGTGTGCTGGCGCATCCATGTTTGTACAAAAACTTATGGAAAACTCCAAATGCTTATCCTGTAGTCTGGTTCCCGGACCCTACTTCAGACGAAACGGAGCAATTAATAGACGTCCGGGAATTGTCAGGTCAGGGAACCAGGGAGATGGCTTGCACCTGTTCACGAATGTGTAACCGATTGCAAACAAAAACTGGACCAACTAAATTTGGTAACCTGTCAGGGTTTTCCCCA